GCTTCCGAAGGCGCTCAATCTGATCTTGTGGTCCTGAAGAGATTTGCGTCGTTTCGCACGTGAATGGTTCCTTGCAAACAGAAGGCAACTGTCTGATATTTCTAAAAGACCGACTGCTTTCTTTTTTTCCTCCGATTAAACATTTGACTTCAGGCAGGGATGGGAATGGTGAAACATTACCAGGCGGGTGTCTCGGTTCCCACACGCCCTATTTCCTCCCCCTCGCGGTCTCCAGTGTAATGGTTAACCACAGAGCAAGAGACTGGAGGCATTTGAGCCCCCTTTTTTTCCTCCCCGCTGCGCTGCTGTCTTTTTCCCATGCTTCAATGTTTTTGCGCGTAAATGTGGTTCTTCTGTCCGCTTGTATGGCAAAAAGAAAGACGTCCGGCTGACTTTTCATCCTCCCATCTGATTGTTACCATGGCGACGCCCGCTCCTCCTTCCCCCCCGACGTCACATGACCTCTCCCTTCACAGGTGTTTGGCTTGCGTCTGGCGGAGCACATTGATTTGCCCGCACAGTGGAGCTCTTTGTGCCCTCGTCTGGTTGGGGGGAGGGGGGGGGTCTCAGTACATCCTCTCCCCACAGGTGGAACTCAAACGTCAGGCCAAAGGCCAACGTCTGCCGGCATAACACGACTATTACCACCCAGAGGAATCCATTTGTGTTGAACCGAGGGTTGATCATGGCATCGTCAAATCCGTTGTCAGTGATTGTCAGATGACGCTGCGTTTTTACAAAGCCCACAACTCATCTAAAAAAAAAAAAAAATGATATCGGTGTGATGTATGATATGGTCATCCGATGTACTGCTGTGCACACTTCTCGTGCCGGTGTGATTTATTGACGTCTTGTGTTGATGCATTACACAATAACCGGCCACAGTGAAAAACTTTGCGCTGACTTATCAATCACACTATCAGTTTCTTCAGGTTTAATTTGCTCCAAGAGGCAGAGGAGTCCCATGTTCATTTTTATTTATTTATTTTTTTGCCCTCTTGTGAATTTCTCCGCGGTGTTCATCTCGTCCCGTCTGCGTTTCGCTGTCTCTTCGCATCCCTAAAGCCCAGTCATTAGTCGGAGCTGCAGTGCGACCGGAATGAGAAACAGAGGCAGCACAGAGACACCCTTCTCTCAGTTTTGCTTCAGTACTCGCCGTCGCTATGACGACAGAGGATTTCAGATGGGCCAAGATGCGAAAGGGTTATTTGATGCTCTTCCGGAGTGGGTGTCTGTGTGTTTTTGTGTGAGAGAAGGGTACGGTCCAATAAAAAGAGTCAGCGCTTTAGAACATTTCTTTCTGAATTTTGCCAACCAACAACATACATGATGAAAAGGCGCACATACAGTTAAACCCGAAGCGGGTCATACGTTGGCCAAATGCCTCATACGGTTTCACTTTTTTATTGGGCCATCATGAGCCAGCCAACTTAAAAAAAAAAAAAAAAAGAGGGACTTTCATTCCATTTGTATTTTGTGACCGCGATTGTCGGATCACAACACATTTTCAGCACCATTCTCAGGCATATTTATCAAATGTTCCCGCTGTCTCCTCTGATTTTCGGTCTCTGCCGTGTTTTTCTTGTGCTGCGTGCCCAGACTGGTCACATGTTGATGCTGTAACTGAACGAGACACATTTTTCTAATGGATTGGCTCTTAACGTATCACTCATGGCACGCTCCATTACCGAGGGACATATGAGGGAGTGCACTCAAGGCTTTCCCATGCAAGGTTTTTTCAAAAAAAAAAATTATGATTTGCATTCATGCCACTTTGCATTTGAATCACACTCTTGATACCCTGCTAAACAATGTTCTGATGATGATTAATATTGTTATTGGAAAAAAGGTTTCCGCACGTGTCTTTATATAGCCTGAAATTTGGCAAATTCTTGCAAACTTAGCTACTGTCTGGGAGAGTAGAACACCACCCCACTCCTCTCTACAGGCAAAAAATGCGGAGCCAGTAAATCATACAGCAGAAGCATGGATGCTGGCTGAGTGTCTGTGTTTTCATTTTTCTTAGATTTCACTCAGCAATTTTTTTACAGTAGTTTCTTGCCATTCTTACATTGTAAAAAAAAAAAAAAAAAAGTTTCTGCTCATCTGCCGCATCAAGTCAAATCCTGTCCACCCCCCCCCCAATGCCCTGCTGGTGGAGCAAAGTAAAATAATTTGAAGGAATATGGATTTAAAAAAAATCAGGAATTTCTTGCTAACCTGCTCCCAACTGGTCTCCAGTGGTCTCACCAACTTCAAAGTTGCTCTGAAAGTTCATGAGTCTGGTGGCGGAGGTGGTTTCTCAAATGTCTGAGGGCTATTTTCTAATGGATGGAATTTCTAATTGCTGTCCTTGCACTTTTTTTTTTTTTCTTTTCAAGCGGCTCTGAAGTTTTAGACTTGCAATTGGCCTCCCTGCTTGCCACTGTCTTCCTGCGTGGGCCAGTTTCCTCGCCAGCTTCTGTTCTCGGTTGTAATTCATCCCTATACGCTATGCGTTCCTCACGATCCTATAGAGGCATCATTTTAGCGTTCCTCTTCCTGCGCCGCGGCTCGCAGAGGACTGCCACGATGCACTTTGATTGCTGAAATTCCTCTCCGTCGAGATGATTGGTGTGAATCTGTGTTGCGCTGGTATGACGCGTGACAATTCACGTCAGTGACTCAGCAACCGTATTGCCATCCGGCCGACGCAAGCCAGGTGAGATGTTTGCCATTATGATCCAAATTCAAAAATGTACGGCTTGGTGTCAAGATACAATCATCGGATAGCTGAACCGAGATCGGCCACCTGTTACCTAACCTAGACCCCTTTTGCTCCCCCGTCACAGAATCCAAGTGGTGCATGTTGACATATGTGCACAATGGTCTCTGTGCCTGGTAATAATTAGTTGGATAGATGGACTTGGAGTGAACAAGCCTCCGGGTCCGTGTGCTTGAGCACGTGCGCGGCTGTGTGTTCAGGCCGACTGGAATCAATGTATACCAGATGTTGCCGAAATGAGTGGGTTTCTATGGAACGTAACACATTCCCAGGGATGTTTGCGGAAAGAAATTCTTCCTCATCTGTCGAGCATGTTCTGCTCAACCCCCCAGCGCCAAGAGGTAATGCGTCTAATTTAACTCGTCTTTTTTGTTCATATTTTCTCCGCCTGTCTTTCATTGTGGCGACGGTTATTGAATTTGACCTTTAGTGTCTCGATGTATGCACAATACGCAGCGTTGCTACTTTATTTATTTATTTTTCTTCTTTGATCCATCAAAAAGACGGCGCGCGCACTTCCCTCTGGTTCTGGGTGAGGGGAAAAAAATGTTTCGACTTGACCTCAAATAATGCAGAGTGATCTATAGTTGTCTGTGTGTCTGAGTATGTGCGGAATGGGATGGAGCGGTAGATAAATATGCAGCGGCTGCAGACTGCGTGGCCGAGACTGCAGTCTAGCACTATAGGTGTGCCCTTGTCTATTTGTGTGAATACTCCCACCTGCACATGAGTCTTACCCCCCACCCCCACCCCCACAAAAAAAAAAATGGCGCACCTGGAATCAAATCACGGATCCAGAGCTTACATCAGGCTACCCGCGTGCTTCAATGGTGTGGAAATAGACTTGTGGAATGATGATGCTCGGGCTAGTTTTAATGTCTTATGTTTGTATTATTGTGCGTACATAGCTTCCCCCCCCCCCTGCCCCCCCCCAAATAGAAGGTTCACTTCTGAATGTTTTTGTGTTTCCGATTTAAAAGATATCTTCAACCACATGGGGGGTGGTATAAGGTGTCACGGTAAAGAGAGTTTTCTGCTAGCTAGCGGAGGCATCTGTTGTGGATGTGCGCTCGTTTATTTATTGATGTGGCTAGTGATTCGTTGGGGCGCCGCTTCTCAGAGTGGAGGGCCAGGACTTGGGGAAGTGCAGTCATTTACGCTCGGTTCACACTTCCCATTTGCTTTGCTTCAAACAAACTGGAGTTCTGTTCGTGTGGTGTGTTTGGACAAGTGTGAATGCAAACAAGCCCCGTTCGTGTCTTGCTGAGGCACTTTCCAAATAGATTGGAGGATGGTTTTGTGATCTCGGCAGGTAAAAATAAGATGACCTATTCGATACAACAAATATTTGGGTTATTGGTTTCATCAAGTAAAACGTACGAATAACAGCCCTAAATGTTGGGACTTAGTATGGTTTTTTTTATTTTTTTATTTATTTTATTTTTTTTTCACAGCCTTAGGTCCACTGAATGTAAAAAGACAATTCAAGGTACTGTGTACGGGCTGTGACATCATATAAAGTGTGTTAGGCTTCTTTGGAATAGCTTTCTGCTTGTTGCCATCGTGACTAATATTTAGTGCAGGGAAATGAATCCCAATCACTGCCCGCAAAGGTTATCAGATCTTTACTCTCTACCACATTAGTTTTTCGACCCGACCCATTCATCACTAATAGAAACTACGCTTGGCTCACTGCCCGTGGCTGTTAATCCCGATGCCCAGGTGGTGACGGAGCTTCCTCGTCCGTACACGTTCACGCGCGCACACACATGCACGTTTGTGTGCATGTGCTGCCTTCATTTTCTGAGTGGTTGTAGATTTGCGTTCAAAGCAGCTTCCTATCCATGATGCCAATCTGGCCTGGTGTGTTTTCTGTTTTCCTGAAGTCTGGGAATGTGATTGAGCGTATTTTTGACTGGTTTTATTGTGTTTGACTGCATTTGGCTGGTGACCGTTGCAGGACGTCCTCCCGCCTCTTTGCCAAAGTCAGCCGGGATAGGCTCCCTTTCTCGGCAAAACTTGAGTTTGCCCATGATCAACGCTGACATTTTTAGAACAACCCTCAACGCTTTCCAGTATATGATGAGTTACTCGCTGGGATTGTACCGATTAAATTGCAATACTTTGAACAGTGTTGACGGTGCTGCAAAATGACCTTCAAACTCTACTATTGGCTGTGTGGTTTGATACGTTTGATTTTAGTAATTAATATGACACCCTCCCTTTTCTTTTTCAGTCCTCTGTGCCAAAAACCTCGTCAAGAAGGACTTCTTCCGTAAGTATGAGCCAAACGCCTCTTTTTTGGTTTTGTTTTTCTCTTTAGAAATGTGCTGTAAAGGTATTTTGAGATTAGCAAACGTGGGTCATACTATTCTGATAAAAATTCCCCCTGTACTAGGCATCGGCACATCATTTGCACAGATGTGAAGGCTTTACTAAAAACGATTCCTTGGAAATAGACGGTATCTTTGGCTCCATCATCTTCAACACAAAAGAAAGTGTGAAAGGATCGTTCTATTTTTGATTCTGTCTCAATACGGTTCATGAAATCATTCAAACTAAAATAGAGTGACGATGCGTCTAGTGTCTTGTAACCACTTTGCACTAAGTGGCCAGGGTAGTGGGGGGGGGAGAAAAAAAAATCTCCTTTTCCCTGGGAAATTGTGCATGCGTTGTGTTTTTGTTTTGGTGTGTTTGGGTCAGGCTGTCATGGTAAATGCGCATGTAAAGGTCTAGTGCTCACTCAGGTGGTTTCTGTGGTGCCCATTCCTGCCATTCCAACGCTCCGGAGCTGAGCAAACATTGCGTTGGTGGGAGTCGGTAGAGAGCAGCACTGAGCCCGTAGATCAGACTGACCAATTTGTCATCGCTTTGCACTGTGACGTGTGTGTCGTACGGGGCGAGCTTGAATCGCAAATGCATACATTTTTATCCCTCGCCAAGAAAGCGTAACTCAAACGTTTCATTTGTCAAACAGAAATACAGATATCCCTGTACTTTATGCAATGCCCCCCCCCCCCGTACCTAACTTAATACCCACAGAAACAGAAAGGTTGATGATTATTAGCAGCGGCGTTTTCCATTGCACACGCCGCGTCTTATCCAGTTGTCTGCATCTCGATTTGTGCGCTCACCAGCCACACGGTCATGCACAACGGCAATCGAAGCCAAACGCTTTGTGAAATTTGCCTTGACAAATCTTGTTGCCTTTGCCTTGACAACTCTGACAAGCTGACCTTGGCTCTCTTTGTCAAGCGAGATTTTTGTATTGGCGCTGCTTCGATGCATGTTTTCCTCATGAAGTCGTCGGCTAATTTAGCGCAGTGGTATTTTTCTCTTCTCGTAGGCCTGCCCGATCCTTTTGCGAAGGTGGTTGTGGACGGTTCGGGGCAATGCCACTCGACCGATACTGTGAGGAACACACTTGACCCCAAGTGGAATCAGCACTATGACCTGTGAGTTTACCGACTGTGTTTCAATGTTCCCCGCCCCAATGAAGCTGTGATTGAAGTTTCGGTGTTTGTTTCCTTCTTTAACCCTTCGTAAGCGCATCTCAGAACGTTAAGATTGGAACAGAACCTTCTGTAAAAGCTCACACTTTTCTCGACACACTTATGACATCACCCATCAATGCGAACAAACGTTTCTAAAAATGTGCCTTGGAACAGGACTTCATACACCGAAATAGACTCGACTCGTACTTGCTCCCAATGACTGCAACACTTGCATGTCCAGTACAGTTACCCTGATCTCCTTTTCCAAAGATGACTTGTCCTGTGAAAGTCACCTGGAAAAAAAAAATGCAGACAGAGCGCCTGAGTGAATGCGAGAGTGAAAGTTTCCAATGTTTATCCGACCGACTAGCATGGCCAACTGCAGAGGAAGCGCTAGTGTAACTTTGTTTGGTTGCTCGGGATACCGCAGTCTCTCTTTTCACGTTGCCAATTTTTTTATCTGTTCATGTCACATTTGACTTTCGGGGCAGGGAAAAGTTGCGTGCACGTATTTACATTTTAAGAGTTTGATGGAGACAGACTCGGGCTTAGCGTAAATCCTTGAGGATTTGCTGTGAATGTTTTCTCCAAAGTTAGGCTGAATCTACACCCTCCTAACTCTCAGCTTTAATCCCAATTTAATGGAGGAGAGTTTTTTTTGGGGGGGGTGGGGGTTTGACCGATCAACGCAACAAGATATCTGGCCCTAAATTATACTCCACCTGCCGTCCTAATTCAGTCTGTTTTAAACCTACTGGCACAGTTCAGTCTGGGATATTTATTAGTCTTGTTGTATAAATGTCAGAAAACCTGATTAATCGTGTACGTGGGCTGCTAAATTTGCGGCGGGTTTCTGTCCCCACGGCGGCGACGTAAATCAAGTCGGGAAGTCAGAACAAGTTGTAATCTGTCACCAACCTACCTTAATGCAGTAAATATTTGTATTTAAAACAGTTGTAAGCCATAAATGTAAAACAATCGAATGAAAACCTCCAAGCATGCCTTTTTTTTTGTTTGTTTGTTTGTTTGTTTTTTTGCTACGTGGCAACATATTATTAGGCCGCTGTGCAAACTAGACGAGTTCATCGTGCGCCGCTCGTCAACTGAGACCGTCATATGCAGTACAGAGTCGAGGACGTATGGTTTCTGCCTTAGTTGTTGGTCTCTTTTTATCCTAACATAAGATTGTGTCTTCGGATGCGTGACTGTGGATGCTATCGGTCATGAGTCGTACTCAAAGTTTAATTAATGCGACTCGTGTCTATTAAAAGACGTTATGTAATGAAATGACATGGCGGGTGTTGCAGATGTCCCGGACTCGACAGCGCTTCCCTCCCGCTATGTCTGTCTGACCTAGCCGCACTCTCACATCGCACCCCAGACAGGCATTTGGCATTGACTCAAAATGTCCAGACGTCTTACTCACAGACCATTGTTTCATATCCCTTTTGGTAACTGCTATGATAATTACAGCGGGATCCCTTTCTGTCAGTTCTCCAGAGTTTTATTTAGAAGGCGCGAGTCCGCCAGAGTACATGTGTCCAAACATGTGGTCATGTTGTAATCACATTCATAGCTTCACCTGATATATTAGCAAAGAGACGACATTTAAAGTGGCAGGAGGGGAAGCTCCGACGTGGACACTGTGTGGAAAGTTTCTGATGTGCTGCTTGATGTGCTCGCTTCAAAACTCAGACAAAACAGACTCGTGTTGTGTCTGTGTGAGGGTATCATGAATATATTTCACGTGTTTGTATTTTCACCTCAGATACATCGGGAAATCGGATTCTATCACGATCAGCGTGTGGAACCACAAGAAGATTCATAAGAAACAAGGGGCTGGTTTCCTGGGATGCATCCGCCTTTTGTCCAATGCTATCAACCGCCTTAAAGACACAGGCTGTAAGTGATACTCCACCTTGGTGTGCCCCATGACATTTTAAAAATACATTGTGATCATATAAGTTATCAATCGCCATCCATTATCCGAGCCGCTTATCCTCACAAGGGTCGCGATCGTGCTGGACCATCTCCCAGCTTTTTTCGGGCAGTAAATGGGGTACACCGTGAACTGATTGCCAGCCAATCGCAAGGCGCACATAGACAAACAGCCAATGACTCCTAGGGATAATTTGGAGTGTCTCATCAGCCTGCCATGCATGATTTGGGAATACGGGAGTACCCGGAGAAAACCCACGCAGGCAAGGGGAGAACATGCAAACTCCACACAGGAAAGCCGGAGCCGGAATCGAACTCTGCACCGCTGCACTGTGATGCCAATGCAGTAACACATGGTCACCGTACCCCCTGTTATCATTATACAATTGTAAAGTAGACCAGCATAATGGCAATGTTGTCGGGGGTAAATCACTTTAGTGGAAAAGTTTGCAAAAAATGTCCTTTGTCAAAATTCCCAAGGAACATAAACAAAGACACGAGCCGCATGCGCTGAATGTGTAAAACACGAAATATACTGCACAGAAAATTCCTGCGCGCACCCTAACCACTGAATCTACTCCATTATTAACTAATCAGGGCTGCAGGAGTGCGGTGTTAAAACAAGTCTGTAGCGGTTAAGGACGCAGTTGCCATTACAACTAAACTAAAACAACAACCAGAGGTTAAATGCCACGTAGAGTCGTGTCATGTCGAACTCATTAGGTCAGACGCAAGCCAGACGAGGGTGTAAGTGGGGTCAAGCTTCAAACCACATCACCCTGTCATTACACTAAAAATGGCTGCTTCGAAGAGGCGAACTGGATAAATTAAGATTTAAGCAATGGCTCTGTAATCGAAGTCCATTATAGGTCTGAAAGGCTTGCATTTGTTTAGAACACACGCTGAATGTACTCGTCATCCACTCATGCTGTCGTGGAAGAAGAACAAATCATCCGGATGATACTCAGACCAAAGGCAACTCTGGGTGGAGGATGCTCAAGCATACATTGATAGAACGGAGGGGGATCGTTCTCGTGGTTGGACAGCCGCTCAGCCACCTGAGCCACCGTGTCCCCAAAAAGCCGCAATACATCAGGGACATGAGCACAGAACCGCGACGTAGTGGTGTTTGACGGTAGTATCAAAACTTTATTTGAAGGGCTTGTTTTCCTCGCGCGAGGGAGCAAACCTGAACCTTGTGCCACAGCTGTGTGTGGTTTACCTCTGCGTTTCCTTCTTCTGGCCTCACCTTCACCCCTCAGTGCCCCCCCCCCCCCCCCACGCTCCATCTGTTCCCTCTCCCGACTGGCAAGACTGAAAGAGACAACAAGAGCGTGCCTTTGGGGACTCGCCTCCCTCTATATCTGTCTGCTGATCCAGACAGCCGGTCATTTCATGCAGACATGCATCACAGTACAACTTGAGACGAGCTGGGTTGTACGTGCATCGAAATGAATGGAGGTTTTGTCCCATCTGCTCGCCCTATACGGAGCCTTGGCTTCCATTCAACATTTGCGTTTAATTGTACAACGTCTTGCCTCGTTCTTTTCCTTTTGTGTATCATCGCAATGGGTTCTGTATTACCCGTCCTCGTTTATGAGGCTGCTGCCCATGTAGTTCAATGAAATGCGCCAGGGTGAGCGAGCGCATTCCTGAAGGCATTTATGTGTGTTTTGTGTTTGTCTTTCTGTGGTTGCTGACCTGCCGCCAGCCTTGTAATGGTTTGACCATTGCCTGTTTTGGTCCCTTGTTTAGTCTAGACAGACATCCTGAGCTGATCTGCATGACACCCAGACAACATAGAAGAGATAGTGGCCATTTTCATGTCTGCAGGCGATGTTTGTGTATTTCTTTCCTCCCTGCCTGGTGTGTGTGTGTGTGTGTGTGTGTGTGTGTGTGTGTGTGTGTGTGTGTGTGTGTGTGTGTGTGTGTGTGTGTGTGTGTGTGTGTCTCTAATTCCAGTCTTTAAGAACTTAATACAAAGAGTTTCCAGACTGGGAAATAGTTCATGTCCATACTAGGAATAGTGCAGGCTTTGTACTGACATTTGCCAACGTGTTGTTTGACCTTTGCTTTTGAACTGAAGCCCGCTCTCTACCGATGCCCGGTCAGATTTTACAGCCTGTGGACAACAGAGCATCTTTTTTTTTTTTTTTTTTTTTTTAGACAGATGGGGAGAGATAGATAAGCTGATGAGCCTGTAACTGAGGTAGAGGGAGATGATACAGAAGAGTATGATTTCCCCAATGAGAAAAATGTGTCCCACTTCTTCATTGAGTATTGTTTACATTTAGCTGTATGAAACTGATGAAGCGTGTCTTCTCCCATCTGATCTTTCTGACTCTGTTCTCATTTCCTGTTTGTCTCTCCAATTGATTTTTTTTTCTTTGCATCTGTGTTCCCTTCCACAGACCAGAGACTAGACTTGAACAAACTGAGTCCGAATGACAGTGACACGGTCAGAGGCCAGATCGTGGGTAAGTTCACAAGGACACACAAACAAGGATCAGATCTCACACAAACTGTCATCACTTGAACAGGCCAGTAAAAAAAATGAATGAATAAAAACGTAACTGGGCTTGCTCTATCATCGGTTGTCTAGTAATTCCAGTTTGTGCATCTGTCTGCCATGTGTTGCCTCAGTGAGCTTGCAGTCCAGAGACCGGATAGGCACAGGAGGCCCAGTGGTAGACTGCAGTCGACTGTTTGACAACGATCTTCCAGACGGGTGAGTCTGTTTTGGGGGGGGGGGGTTTCTCTAGTCGTCTGAGGGGGAGCTTTGTAGACAGTGTTACAAGTCCGAAACAATACACTCTGCTATATGAAATATGGAAATTCATACGGCGCCCGTGGCCACATCAACTCGATCCGCTCACTGCTGTGCACGTGTACGTTTCTGATTCCAGCTGGGAGGAGAGGAGAACTGCATCTGGACGAATCCAGTACTTGAACCACATCACGCGCACCACACAGTGGGAGAGGCCGACCAGGTGAGTCCGCCGTGTCGCCGGCAGAAACTCAACAAGACTTCATGTCTAAGCCCAAAATATTCAAACAGGAGGACCCTCATCAAAAACGATTTCTTGAGGTTTTTTTTTTCCCCTCCCCCGTTTACACTGTTGTCTATGTCAGACCTGCATCAGAGTACTCAAGCCCTGGGCGGCCACTTAGCTGCATCGTGGATGAGAACACTCCCATTAACACAAATGGAGCCACGCCGACAGCAGCATTGCCGCCAAACGACGATGACCAGCGTGCCCAGGAGAGGCGCGTTCGCTCCCAGAGGCACCGCAACTACATGAGCAGAACGCACCTGCACACACCTCCAGACCTCCCAGAGGGCTACGGTTAGTGTCGTCGCAACTCGATGTGCGGCAAAGAATCAATGAATTGACAGCCAATCGATTATCAAATTCATCATTCAGAGACCCAAATTGTCCAAATCCTTTGAATTTCAGCGTCCAGTTTATAATGATAATCATCTCAGATTTTTGTAGTCCTGAATTGCCGACTGTTATCTTTGTGTCAAACATCTGCTTTTACTCACTGCTTCGGTTTGAAATGAAGGGATAGAAATGGTATTTCTTTTGCACTTCTCCGCCCCACAACGACGCCTGTCATCACTTAATTGTATTTAGCTAATTGCTTCGCTCCTTCCTGCTGAGTAAAGCCGCAAGTCTGGGCCCTCGTTCAATCCACAAGCCCTCTGTGATGCTGAAGCCCCACACAAGGAGCCTGTAATACTGGCTCCATTTTAGACAATCTAATTGAATTGATCTCGCCGTTCAAGTCTGGCTGCGGCCATTTGCTCCCCTCCCCGCCTCTTTCTCTGTTTCTGCACATACGCAAACAATCGGACACATTCATGTCAAAAGTAAACACGCACGCCAGCTGCAGTCCTCCACACATCTTTGGGAGTTTTGTTTATCCTCACGGGAATTTTCTTTACCCCGGTTTTGGAGCCAGACTTGAAGAAGCATATCTTAGCCTTGTGCTCAGTGTCTGAGATTTAGGAGGCTCCACGCCTCTCGAGGCTTGTCTCCTTCTCCTTCCTCCCTCTGCCCTTCATCCTTTCATTTTTTAAATTTTTTTTTGCACAATGCTTTTAAAATCTGTCCGAAAGTCCCGTTCTTCTCATGTAAGCACACACCAGGAGTTGTCAGTTGAAACTTATGGTTGCCAGGTTATGTGTAAAACAGGATGATAATCCAATGAGTTAGCAGGAAGCTGTCTGGAGGCACCACCTTATGAACCGCTTTGTGGCAGGTGATGAATGAGCTCACTTCCTCAAATAAATCAAAACCAAAAAAATACACCCCATCCTCTCTGATATTTCTTACCCTGTAGACCTCCAAAGAATCTTCAATTTGGCTCCTTCTGGATGCTAATTATTATATTGCGTCTTGTGTTGAATTGACACCCCCCCCCCTTTTTTTAATCATATTACAGAACAGAGGACCACGCAACAAGGCCAAGTGTACTTCCTTCACACTCAGACAGGTGTCAGCACATGGCATGACCCCAGAGTACCGAGGTATGTGACCTCCAGGATTTGTGACTTTATCACGACAACACATCACATGACGAAGCCGTTGAGGAGCTATGCACTGCATTCATGTACTGTTAACATTATAGGCCACCTGGCTGGCTGATTTCATTTCCAGTTCCGAATCTGTTCAACGACTAGATTTTCTCTCCACAGTCCAGACGCTTCTTTATTTGCTTGCTATTTTGCTGTTTAAAGTTGGATGCGCTCCACTTGAACACAGTTCCAGCCAGACATCTGTGACAAGTGGACTCGGTCCCCCAAGCACTTAATTCTGGTGTTCAAGTGCTAGCCGTGTCAATCTTAGATTAGCATAGCAATCAACATGGCGTCTCCCTTCATCAGAATGATACTAAAGTGTCTTCATTATCTTTTTTTTTTTAACTCTTGCAACGTGTTGCTTTTTTTCTGTCACATGTCAGAGATCTGAGTAATGTAAACTGTGAAGAATTGGGTCCGCTACCTCCTGGATGGGAGATACGTAACACTGCCACGGGGAGAGTATACTTTGTGGACCACAACAACCGGACCACACAGTTCACTGACCCGCGCCTCTCTGCCAACCTGCATCGTGTCCTTAAGTAAGTTTTGACCTTTTGTACGCTTACAGTATATCCTTGTGAAATCAAGTCAAGTTAAATTTGAAAAAAAATGTGGTTCTGTTTTATTTCCTGGACTCAGTTGTCTTTGTTTTGCATTTCCAGTCCAAGCCCAAATGGCTCACGAGGAGGCATTGAAAGTCAGAATGTGAGGTAAGATTTTGTTTTTCATTCCAGGAAGCCCCCCGTTGCACACGACCACACATTCTCTCCTCTTTTTCCACGCAAACATCACACATGCTTAAAGCCTTCGGATCCTCAAGGCATTTCGGCGCACTATTCGCCACGTAGCTGATGTTGGCGAGACATCTGACGGGAGAATCAGAGACAAGAACTACATCTTACATCCAGGAAATAGCACATGAATGTAATTCCCAACTCTGTTAATGAATTCTGTGTTTGAGTCACTCCGCGGAGCTTTAGGCATCGGTTTATGTATTTGTGCACGGTCCAAGCCTTTGGTCCATGGTCCAAGCATGGCCCGGACACATGTTCAGAATGCGCAGCTGTTCAAACACCTACTGTGCTTTTAACGGCCCTAGATTTACCCGTAGTCCTTTGGCTTCACGAAGATGGAGTGGCGGACGGGTGCCTTGACGGGCCTCCTCTGCCTGACCTCATTCCTCCTCTGTGAAGGGACGGAATGCATTGCAGAGAGATCCGGTTGCTTCTTTTCCCCTTCGCGTGGATCAAAGAACATGCTGGCATTTTCTACTTTGTTTTTTTTTTTTTTTTTTTTTTGTGTGTGTCTGTGGTCCCATCTAAAGTCTTAAAAACCTATCTTGGCACGCCACTTTTTTTTATGTATGATGCTTTTTCATAAGCAAGATTCTGCAGAGAAGTTTTTTTTTTTTCTGGTGAAATTGAACAAATTGAATTTCACTTGAGATGAGTAGCATAATGGTGAATGGCCAAATCATTGATTTAAGATGATATTTGGCCGCTCAAATCGGTAAGTCTTTTATTACGGCTGCTACAAACTCCAGCAGCATCGGGATGATGTTAGGAAATATGTGCGACCTGGAAAAGATATCAAGCGTCACGGAGTTCCATCAAGACATCTGCCTTTTATCAATTCAGGGATTTCACCCCACCCCTACCCCCACCCTCTTTCGTCATACCACAAAAATGTTTGACATATTGTCTTATTATGTCAAATGTGTCACTTTTAAGGCTGTTTTTTTTATTTCATTGAGTCTATGTCTCAGCATCCATCCAGCAACCACATTTTTGCTGCAGTATAAATTTCCCCAATGACGTTACAAACCCTACCGGTCAGAGTCACTTTTCAGGAACTGAAATCTTGATTCCATACCGGTTTTGATAGTAGCGACATGAGGAGCTGTCACGTCACCTTAAATTTGCGGTATCGACATACTGGAAATTTTCGTTCATTTTGGTGACGTCTCGCAGCCAGCGAATGTCCCAAGAAAAGCGACCTGCGTGCTTGGTTTGCGACGAGGAGTGTCGAGGGCAGAGGTACTTTATAGGTGAAAGTTCAGGAGACGCTTTGTGCCTTTTCTCATCCTTCCCTCCCACCCTCGGAGTTGTCTGCTCGATTTGGATACTGTCAGGCGAGTGCGCTTCCTACTTCCCATCCCTCACCGAGAGTCTAGTCTACAGGAAATAAAAGGATTCAAGTGGAGTTCTTGAGAGTCCTTTGGGGCCCTGTGGCTTTCTGGGCTAACAGGAAGTGATTGAAAAGCCTAACTCAATTCCACTTGGCAGACACTACAAACTAAGTTGTCAATGTGATTATGGACAACGCAGGCCATTAGAAGGATACTCGAGAGCAATTGCGGTCTCATTTAACCTCCGTCAACTGCAGCCACCCTGAGTCTGCTGTCTGTTTTGCCTCCGCCTTAGCACAAAATAAGTCCTCTCTTAAAAGTTTGGCTGTTCTTCAGATTAGCTCACTTGAACTTCTGTCCAAATAATTGTTCTAAATAATTTTCCGTTTAATTTATTTTTTCCTGTAACAAAACAGAAAAATAATGGTGTATGTATTTAGGGGTTGTCGCCCCACCTCTTGGTTTTGCACGCAATTACGTGCATCTGGCCAAGTTAAACCCTAAATGGATTTGAAATACTTCAGGTGTATGAAGAGTCTGAATAACTATGATATTTATGATGAAATATGTTTTGCGATTTATCCGTGCCGATCCGCACTGTCTCCTACTTTAATTATTATATCTAAAAACTTACTTGGCTGACCAAGAAGATACACAAGTCTGAAAGGTTATGATTATTATTATTATTTTATTTATTTTTTTAGCTATTCCGAGTTGTTTAGTTTGACTGTCTTCATCAAGGTGTTGTTGAGTTTGAATATTGATCACCTGATTGATTCTGTCTCTGTCACTTATTTTCTGGTCCGTTCAATCTTCCTTAAAATTCCATTTCTTTTGCCCATCAGTCGTCAGAACCCGTTGAAGGATCAGGTCCAGCAGGCTCTGGTGTCCACGGGTCAGCTCCCAGAGGAGGCAGAGTGTCTCACCGTACCCAAGTACAAGCGAGACCTAGTCCAGAAGCTGAAGATCCTCCGACAGGAACTTTCTCAGCAGCAGCCGCAGGCCGGGCATTGTCGCATCGAGGTGTCCCGCGAGGAAATATTTGAGGTGAGGAGGGAATGACATCACTGCTGTTATCGCATCATCTGTGTCTTACCGAGGCACCCTTTTGATTATTACATGAGCTTCATAGAACCAACTGCCTAATTTTCAGGATCTGGTGTACGCTGATGCACAAGTCATATACACATTACATATACTGTAATGCTATGACACAGACAACACAAGTTCTGTTCTTAGTTAACTGTTCCGAGTTATTTTTAGATTCACTCACGCTGTGTGAATGTGAACATTTTATCTTTTGTCTGTTTGTGTGTGTGTGTGTGTGTGTGTGTGTGTGTGTGTGTGTGTGTGTGTGTGTGTGTGTGTGTGTGTGTGTGTCACAGTCAAACTGCCAGGGGGCATTGTTTGTGGGACTACATACACACGTACATTCGTGGAAGCTTTTCTGTTTCCAATTTGAAGCAGAGCGCTCTCTCAAATGCGTTGGCTCACCAGAGGAGTGTTTCTGCTTCTGCCAGTTGCAGGGCCTTTATCAGCGCAACAACACCTGCAATAGACTACACGACCCTCATAAAATATGCGGCGGAATGTGCTGGAACAGCCATGTCTGTTAATCGGAACGAAGACATTTTTGTTGGCTGATCTCACCGTGAGAGAGACAGGCGGTAGGTAGGGCAACGCACGTCTGAAGGTGGTGCGAGACATAGCCGCATAGCTTCTCGGGGTCCTCTGAAGCATTAACTCATGACTGAATGGGCAAGTGTTAGCCCGTGGGCTGTCAGAGCCTTCTCAATGTGTACTTTTTGGTCTAGATAAGACGTTCCCTTGACCCCCACCCCCCCCTCACAGCAGCTCTATGTTGTCTGCCTCATCTGAAGGGAAGAGTGGAACGTGGCGGTGAAAGAGCCTGTGTTATGATAGCCTTATGACTGTGTTTATTATAACTGCCCCTAATCCACTTTTAATGAGCCCTGCCCTTAATACGCGAGCCGTCTGCACATGGGATGAACACTTTATTGAGCCGGAGCATGACAGCAACGAACCAATTCGTCTAAACGAGGGACGCGGCACACTGCCACAGTGCAGGACTTTCCAGCCGTCTCAATCGCTGTATAAAATGTCTCTTTTGTTTTAGTGTGGTGCATCATTTTCATGACAATTGTTGTTAAAGGGGGGTCTACAATTTAATGTTAATAATTGTACATTGTGTACGGGGCTGAACCATTCAAGGAATTCAAATCAACATCGTAGAATGCACTTTTCAAAATTTGGGGGGGGGGATGCTTCATTTCAGTCGGTCGGTAGACTTTTTACATACACATACGTTTACATATAAGTTTGGTGCCGCAGAAGTGCAGTCTACATGTTTACATATCATTGTTTTATGAAACATGAAAAGTTGAAGCGATAAAGCCACAGATTTGTTTGCATAATTGTTGATATGTGATGATGGGCTGATTCATGTTGCCGCCACACTCGCTTGGTCAAATTTTGTGACGTAGCGTTTTCTAAACTGTTCTTAATAAGGTTGTATGACTGCTCTACAGGAATCCTATCGACAAGTGATGAAGATGAGGCCGAAAGACTTATGGAAAAGGCTAATGGTGAAGTTTCGGGGAGAAGAAGGACTTGATTATGGAGGAGTGGCCAGGTAGGAAAGTTATAAAAGCTGCAATCCAGACTGAGCCTTGTTGTGAATAGCGAGACATTCACAAGTGATTGACACCCCCTCAAAACCGTTTAGAATTGCCACCGTATGCCGCAAGATGCTGGCAAAAGCATTATTTTTGTCTAAATGAAGCACCTGAACTCACTTGAGCATCATTTCTTGGCCCCATGATGGCAAAGCAATACTACTGGCGTTTCAAATTGAGCACAAAAACCGCAAATCGGTAGCAAGGAGGGAGAGATAGGTTAAAAAATAATAATACTCCTCTGCAAAGAGGATAATTTGAGAATTCTGAACGGCAAATATGCAGGAGTTCCCTGTGCAGTATTTTGGTCAACTTTTTTTTTCTTTGTTTGCTATCTGTCCAGGGAGTGGCTCTATCTGCTTTCACATGAGATGTTGAACCCGTACTATGGCCTGTTCCAGTACTCCCGTGATGACATCTACACGCTGCAGATTAACCCGGACTCTGCAGTCAACCCTGTGAGTCATATGCAAAACGGCACTCACAAGTGATGGCTTCTGTTGCCATAAAGAAGATGGTGGTTGAATACCCTTCAGCACCACTGCAACACAGGAGCACGTTCCACGTGTAAATCATTTATTCAAGTCGCACGTTTCCTCTTGGTCTAGGAGCACTTGTCGTACTTCCACTTTGTGGGCCGTATCATGGGGATGGCAGTGTTCCATGGCCACTACATTGATGGAGGCTTTACCCTACCCTTCTACAAACAACTGCTCGGTAAACCCATCACCCTGGACGACATGGAGTCCGTCGACCCGGACCTGCACAACAGTCTCGTCTGGATCCTGTATGTACAAGACACGGTTTATGTTGAAAAAAAACATTTCTCTTAGGCTTTTGTATGTTTCATTGAGATGTTCAAAAAAAAAAAAAGAAGAAGAAATGTTCAGTTCAACTCACCCACAAATAACGAACAAACAAGTTTGCTATTATGAACCAAAAGCCTTGATCGGGCCTGGTTGCTGCAGGACAGCACCCCCTAGCTTTTATTGTTGAGCAAAACTGAAGGACTCAGAGGATGGATTTTTATGTTCTATGTTTTGAGTTTTTTTGCATTACTCTTAGAGGGATACGTATCTCATTCAAACCAAGTGCTCATCTGTACTCCTCTTTGTATTTAGACCGCAACTAAAAGCCATCAATAGCAAGACGATGTCGTTCAAAAGCACGTTATCAGATAGCGTCTCTAAAATGGCATCAGCGGAAAACCTGCCACGAAATCACTCATCTCAATCCAGGCAAAAGGAAGCCGTTTCTTCCAGAGTTTTGATATAATATTAGAAAATGGATTCTTTCTTCTCTGTGATTATGTTTTCCCCATTTATTTTAATTTTTTTACAAATCCTGGACTGACTTGAAATGGTCATTTAACCTGTCATGACCCCTCAGGGACAACGACATCACAGGCGTGCTGGACCACACCTTCTGTGTAGAACACAATGCCTACGGAGAGATCATCCAGCATGAGCTCAAGCCGAATGGGAAAAGTCTCTCCGTAACGCAGGACACAAAGAAAGAGTATGTCCGCCTGTACGTCAACTGGCGCTTTCTGCGGGGCATCGAGGCTCAGTTCCTCGCTCTGCAGAAGGGCTTCAACGAAGTCATCCCCCAACACCTGCTGAAGGCTTTCGATGAGAAAGAGCTTGAGGTACTTTCCCTTTGTCATGTCAGTTTGATTCAGGAGGAGTGGTACAGTCATACAGACACAAACAAGAAAGGAGAGTCAGCATGACTCTCAATATAAGCTCCGATATTAGTCATTTTTCACGGAGGATAAAGAATATCCACCTGAGTATCGTGATATTGTCTGTCTGCACATGTTGTTCCACGTTTGGTGTTCAAATATTAGTTGCTTAAATATTTACACCACCATGACTGTCAATGCTATTTGTTAGCCCGCGTGAGGCATTTTCCATGAAGTATTAGCCTGTGACCTTATACTTCCGAAATGAACATGTTCCTCTCTTCGTTCCGCAGCTGATCGTATGTGGCCTGGGTAAAATCGACATCAATGACTGGAAGTCCAACACACGGCTTAAACATTGCACTCCCGACAGTAACATTGTCAAGTGGTTCTGGAAAGCCGTGGAGTCTTTCGACGAAGAGCGAAGAGCCCGCCTGCTGCAATTCGTCACGGGTTCTTCCAGGGTTCCACTGCAGGGCTTCAAGGCCCTCCAAGGTAAAGCAACTCTAATGAGGAGAAGATGGGAGTGCTTGTTGAAAGACAGCGTCACCTTTGAATCGGCAACAGAGGGGCCCTGCTGGCAGATAGTGCCGCAGTCAGACAAAGCGCTCAGTCATCAGGAGGACACTTGGAGCTCTTGTTATCTCATGGGCAGCCAGCCAACAATGTTTACCTTTTTTTTTCGGGGCTAAAAATGCGAAAGAGAATGAAAAACCAAAACTTTCCCTGAAAACATTAACTTGCTGCAGTTTTTATCGGTGACCTTGCACTGATTGTGATAAATGGACGTATTGCTGCCATCATGGGACCAGCTTAATGGCAGCCTCTGGTCTTCTGGCCTGAGCGTTGCATCCCACTAATTAATTTTTGTTGGTCTCCTGTCCTTGAATGACTCTGAAAAGTCATTCCCAACTATTCAATCCCACCTCATACATCATGGCCTCCTGTCCAATATTCATGCCGCTTTTTGTCTCATGTATGCCAGCTTCACACATGGCTCACGTGTCCCACATCAAAACGGATCCATTGATGAATTAGTAAACAATGAAAAATCTGGCATTAATTGACCAAGGCTTGCCGCAGAAGCCGACTCTTCACATTGGGCCCAGCATCACTACAACTACAGCTCAAAACATGTCTGTATATCGCTAGTAATGGTGCAAATGTGGACTGTAGAAGCGAGTGTCCGCTGGTCGATTTTGACTGAAGTGTTGTTTTATTTTCCTTGAATGTAGGTGCTGCTGGCCCACGGCTCTTCACCATACACCAGATTGATGCCAACACCAACAACCTGCCCAAAGCCCACACGTGGTGAGAAAAATGTTTGAGAAATATTTTTTGAGGTGCTGCCACATCAGTGCCTTCTACAGCAAAAGTCATGAAAAAGACAAACAACTTACTTGGTGCTATGGAATAAATGCTCACGCGACTTGAAATGTCTGTTGTTTGACTCAGTACTCGTCTCCATTTCCTTGAACTTCTTAATGTTTCTTAACACTAATCATCTTCTTCTATTTTTACAGTTTCAATCGGATCGACATTCCTCCGTACGAAAGCTATGACAAACTATATGACAAGTTGCTCACTGCCATCGAGGAGACATGTGGCTTTGCCGTGGAGTGACTCTGCGATGAGCCGCAGTGCAACAAACAGCTCAAGTCGCATGGTTTGGCGATGATCCCGCCCCCCTTTTTTTTTTTTTTTTTTTTTTTTACACACAAACATCGAACGCTCAATGGCCTTTCTTATTATGGGGGGAGAAAAAAAATCTCTGCAGCTGCTAATAACTCAGACTATTTACTAACTTGTGGAACATGCAGGATATTGGTTGGCTCTTCCTCTTTTTCTATGTTCATTCAAGCGTTTTAAAACAACGACTATTCCATGTAGCAAGGAGCACTCCTGAACCAACAACCGCAGATACACGCGTGCTTCGTTTGCTTGAGTACAGGGTAATTTCATTGATGTATATCATCACCACTTGCAAACATTAATTCTCGACATGGAGTGTGCCTTGGATTGATCACATGGGAGCAAGCGTTCATGCCCGGCCAACAGGGATACCGCCTGTGCGGATGCAACGATGAGTCTGAATTTGGCGGATAGATTTCCATCACTCTCCAAAGACGGCGGCAAGCAACACAGTGAGTCGCTGCACAAACTGCATTCCCATTGTCACTCATCGACAACCAGTTTGTTTGACCGTGTGTACGTGAACCAAGTGCTTGCAATGGGTTATTTTTATATAGTAACGGGGGTAATGGAAGAAAATGAGTACATTTCTAGTAGATCTATTTTATTGCTGATATATATCTATATCTATGTGTAGATATAGATATATCGTATCTCCCCATTTCCATCCATTGTTTCAGAAAAATACAGCGTGTTACTGTTTAAATTATAAAAGGAATTAAGAACAGAAATAAGCTGATTTTCACTCAGTATTTGGGTTTATTTATCACTTTCTAATCTTTAATAGGAGGTATATCTTAGAGGCTCGCAAATCATAAACACACATACACACCAAAATAGCCATTGTTGAATCTTTGTCAAACCAAGCAGACCCTTTAAAATATATTGCTATCATTTTGGAGGCACTTCAGCAACATATTTTGTTTGTTTTTTTTTAAACCTTCAATCAACTGCCACTCATCATGAACAGGGCTTTATGCATGTTTTCAAATGCACACTTTTGTTCTTCAACTCAAAAGTCTTTTCATACCATCTGGTGTTAACTGGTATCCGCATTTGCCTGACTTTGGCGCCCATATACCTGTACGTATATTGATTGATTGATTTTCGAACAAAGCCCACATACACAATCGATGCCACCAACAAAAAAAAATAAATAAATAAAACAGAATAAGTCTTTGGCCACATTCTCAGGGGTTATAATGCGGACCTTGTATTGTTGTTTTTAACAACTACATACAGTAGAAGCAAATTGACCATTGTACCTTATTTTCGAAATAATGAGCATCCACGTTCATTGTTTCGGCATATGTGTTGCACGTTGAAACACTTGGTTGGACATGAGCTGAATGAGATGGCCTCCTGTTACACTCTTCTGTTAATAATTTTCCATTTGTAAGATTGTTTTCTTCCATTCAGCATAAAATTCTTGAATGTTTTCTAAAAGATGCTGCCTGTTTAGCAATCTCTCTGACCGTGGACTGTTCTTCACATTTGCATACACACACACACACACACACACACACACACACACACACACACACACACACACACGCACACACACACAGAAAAATTAACTGTTATGTTATTCTTTAATGTAAACAAGTGTATGCAAAGTGACAAATGTCCTCATATGGTGCTTTGTACAGTAAAAATATATTGTTCATATATGTGGATCAAACAACCTGTAATTTATGTTTAACTTAATTAGAAACTGATTTTATCCTAATGGGTGGTGGGGGTGAGGTGCACAAAACCAGAGGGAGGTTGCTATGGGTATCAAATTGTGACCGAAAGGGCATATTCATCCACTTAGAAGTCCAGTGCACAAGCAGATAGATCACACTTCCTACAATACTTTATCCAATGCCGTCTCATTGCTGCCTCTCACTGAAGAATTGAAGTTCTTATCAAAACAGAAAAGGTCAAGAGTTGCAGCTCTTGCCTTTTGTTTTTTTGTTGTTTTTTTTTTTTTCTCAAATTTGCCAGTGTGTGTTTTTTTTTAAATTGGAAAAATAGCACAATAGCAATTGTCAGTCATCCAGGATCATGGCTCAATCAATCGTACGGGACTTTTCTTGTTCAGTGGATAAGGTGCTTTTTTTTGCCCCATTTTTTTTTTAACTTAATTAAAACTTAACTAAATTTTAGTGTGATACTAGTGATATATGCCCGGTGTTTTGTTATATTGTCTGTGTACATGTGTAGCTGTAACATTTTGTGTTTAAAGATCAATTGCTTCAACATTCACAGCTCCCGCAACATTGATGCAAGTTTTGTGAGCCCGCCTATGGCATTTCGCATTGTGCGTCGGCATCTAAACTAAGTTGAGGTACCGATATAGTTCCTCTGGGAAAGTGAAAGGAAAAGGGAAAATTGCCAGGAACCCACCTACACACACACACACACACACACACACACGCACACACACACAGAAAAATTAACTGTTATGTTATTCTTTAATGTAAACAAGTGTATGCAAAGTGACAAATGTCCTCATATGGTGCTTTGTACAGTAAAAATATATTGTTCATATATGTGGATCAAACAACCTGTAATTTATGTTTAACTTAATTAGAAACTGATTTTATCCTAATGGGTGGTGGGGGTGAGGTGCACAAAACCAGAGGGAGGTTGCTATGGGTATCAAATTGTGACCGAAAGGGCATATTCATCCACTTAGAAGTCCAGTGCACAAGCAGATAGATCACACTTCCTACAATACTTTATCCAATGCCGTCTCATTGCTGCCTCTCACTGAAGAATTGAAGTTCTTATCAAAACAGAAAAGGTCAAGAGTTGCAGCTCTTGCCTTTTGTTTTTTTGTTGTTTTTTTTTTTTTAGCATGATCCACTAGGACTATTATCTCTCCTTGCTGACTGATGCAATTTGATGTCTGTTAACACTACCATTTTGTAAGAGTATTTAATTTTTGTGTGTAATTAGTTCTAATTAAACTCGCCTTTCTCTTACAGTGTAAGGCCTTGTACAAAGAAACATTGTCTTTCTTCCTTTCTTTCTGTAGTTTGCCCTTTTTCATTTTAATCTAAGAATTTACATGCCTGTTAACGTGAGCTTTGGTGATAACGTGTTAACATTTACATATGAATGGGATTGTGTGGAAAAGTTTTAGTTGGTTTTCCTTCTTATCTTTTCATCCTCCTTAGTGTCCAGTTTTTTGGTAACGTCGGTGTTGTGCCATATACTGTATTTCTCTTAATTGCACATCTCTAGTTTTCTCCAGCTATCCCCGTTTCCTCCCACATTAAAAAAAAACATGCAAGGTAGGTTAATGGAACACACTAAATTGTCCCTATGTGTGACTATTAAGTGTGAATGGTTGTTTGTTTGCCCTGCAATTGGCTGGCAATTAGTTCAGGGTGTACCCCGCCTACTGCTTGAAGAGAGCACGCCCGCGACCCTCGTGAGAATAAGCAAAACAGATCATGGATGGATCGATAATTTATCACGTGGTTAAAAAAAGTTGAAATGATTTAGCTTTATTTTATTTAAACGTGGCATTTGAACATGTTAGTGGAGAATAGAGTAAAAAATATAATATTAATATTCCCAGAGAAAAATGAATGAATAATTTTAAACTGAAGCAAACGATAAACTGACGTTGTATGCCGTTGTTCGTCACGTTTGGGTTGGGCCTAGTGATGTCATTGTGTGTGTTTTTTTTCCGGAGGGACCGCATTACTTGACTTCGTTTGGAACATATTCATCCGCCATTTCAGTGGTTCTTCGGAGTTAGCTACTCGGTGAAATATAAGGCCAAAAGGAAATTTCGTCTTTTCACCTTTTTATTTCGTTTCATATAAACACACATTGCAAATAAACGTTTATATGTCAACAAGTTAATTTACTATTTGCTGCTCTTTCATGCCGCTGAAGTTAAGTGGGCAAAAAAAAAAAAACTGCGGATGAATACGGCGGAAGTCGAACTTCCGCTTGCCATATAAACCGGACCCCCTTTTTCTTTTACCGGCATTTCATCACCGCTACCGAGGTTAACGCAAATAAGAGACCGGACTAGTCTATTTATCTCTTATTTTCGAATTAACGCTCCACAAAAACGCTAGTCAACATGCCAGGATATTCCGACAGAGATCGTGGCCGAGACAGGGACAGAGATCGAGGGTAAGTACACAATTTTCGTTTCTTTAAGGCGGCTTTTCCCCTCGTGGAAAATGGCCGACCGGGCCGAACCACGGAAATAACATTGAATACTGTGTGACTTTGTCAATTTTGACAAAATCTAACGATTTTTGTTGATACTGAGAAATTCGCCGGGCGAATAACCGTTGCCACGTGTATTCGACGATGGACGCTAAAAGGCAGCCTGGCGTCTTTGGGTCCAGGCCTCGTCTGGCCTCGTGCCTGATATGGCGGCTTTTCGTTAGCTGCAAGCTACTACTTTGTTCGCTTGTGAGACGTAGTCCTAGCCAGTGAAGGCCAAAGACGGACCTCCATCCAGGAAAGTTATTTCACACCCATGACAAGTCTTGGGTCTTGTTGAACTGCTCGCCCGTCACTGGTCGATATTGATAGTCGGTTCTTTCGCCATGTGGCGATGTCGAAGCACATACAAAATGCCGGCTTCTTTCCATTGTTCCCCTACTGGGAGGGAAGTACATAACAGAACAACATTTTATTTCATTGATTCGGTTAAGACGTTTTTCTTCGAGTGGACCGTCGATGCCCTCGACCGAATCGCTTTAATGTGGCTAATTTGTGAGCGACCTTGTGTTTCAGTTACGGTGGCGGCCCTCATCGTTTTGGTGGTGGCCGAGGCGGCGGCGGCGGCGGAGGAGGAGGATCGAAGTTCGGCAACCCCGGTGACCGACTGCGAAAGAAACATTGGAATCTGGACGAGCTTCCAAAGTTTGAGAAGAACTTTTACCAGGAGCACCCGGACGTAACGAGGAGGCCTTTGGTGGGTTCCGGCATGATGCTAGTTTGTGTTACGCAACACGTGTGTGAGCTCGCTACACGTGTTGGCGTTATGTAATCCACATATGGCCACCGTATTAAATTCTTTTTCATCGTTCTTCACCGCTATAGCAAGAAGTTGAAAATTATAGAAGGACCAAAACCATCACAGTGAAAGGGAGAAACTGCCCGAATCCAATTGTGAATTTCCACGAAGCAAGCTTTCCATGTAAGTGCTGAATAGATTGGTGGCTTTTGAAGCTGTTGCATTTGAAAACATGTCTAAATGTGTTTTTGTCCTTCTTCAAACCAGCGTATGTTATGGATGTCATCAACAAGCAAAACTGGACAGACCCAACTCCCATTCAGGCTCAGGGCTGGCCTTTAGCACTGAGTGGCAATGACATGGTTGGCATCGCACAGACTGGTTCTGGCAAAACACTCTCAGTAGGTTGACGTGATTTGAGATTAAATGGAGGGTGTAGTTCTTGAAAGGCGTGTCATTGCTTTGCATCTTCTGTACAGTATCTGTTGCCTGCCATCGTTCACATCAACCACCAGCCTTTCCTGGAGCGCGGTGATGGACCTATTGTAAGTATTGATTTTGTTTAGAACCTTTTTGACAGATTGGTGGGTGCTAATCAAAAGCATGTGTATTAAAACAATGTGGTTTTCCTGTATAACCTGTGTTGCTGGTCAAACTTGTGTGTAAATCCAATATTTCTGTTGTCAGTGCTTGGTGCTGGCCCCAACTCGTGAGCTGGCCCAGCAGGTGCAACAGGTGGCTGCCGAGTATGGCAGAGCTTCTCGCCTGAAGTCCACCTGTATCTACGGAGGAGCCCCCAAGGGGCCGCAAATTCGTGACCTTGAGCGAGGTGAGCTGTTTATTTGAATTTGAGAAGAAGGCTGTGTTTCTTCCGTTCTCCTAATTGTTTCCTTTCCCGTCAAAGGTGTTGAGATCTGCATCGCAACTCCAGGCAGGCTCATCGACTTCCTTGAAGCAGGAAAGACCAACCTGCGCCGTTGCACCTACCTCGTATTGGACGAGGCTGACAGAATGCTGGACATGGGATTTGAACCACAGATCAGGAAAATTGTTGACCAGATCAGAGTATGTTTCAAGTTGTCCATTGCATGTCAGAATCCCATTTGGCCTGTGTTGGTTTGATCAGTGCCGTATTTGTCTTTATTGCAGCCTGATCGTCAGACGCTGATGTGGAGCGCCACCTGGCCAAAAGAGGTACGTCAGCTGGCTGAAGACTTTCTCAAAGACTACGTGCAAATCAACGTTGGGGCCCTGCAACTCAGTGCAAACCACAACATCCTTCAGATTGTTGATGTGTGCAATGATGGCGAGAAAGAGAACAAGTTAGTACACGGCACAATGACATGTAAATTACAAGGCTGAACTCTTGGTGACAATCACGCATAAAATTGAATTATCGTCTTCCCCCCCAAATAAGACTCATTCGTTTGCTGGAGGAAATTATGAGCGAGAAGGAGAACAAGACTATCATTTTTGTAGAGACAAAGAGGCGATGCGATGACCTGACAAGAAGGATGAGGCGAGACGGGTAGGTTGGGAAGCATTAAATGAGCACTACTCTCGGGCAACACGTGAATGAAATGCTCTTGTATTGTTCAGATGGCCAGCAATGGGAATCCACGGAGATAAGAGCCAGCAGGAGAGAGACTGGGTTCTTAATGGTGAGTGTACTCTTATTTACCAGTTGACCATTTACAAACCGGAGAGTCCCAACATCTGTTTGTTTGTTCCAGAATTTAAATATGGAAAGGCTCCCATTCTGATTGCTACAGATGTTGCATCTCGTGGTCTAGGTCAGTATCCTCCGTAAAGCACTGAAGTGTTTGAATTTTTTTAGAGGAAAGTATATTGGCTTTCTTTAACTCTTCTGCTTCTCTCTGAGTCTCTCCCATGGGCCAAAGGAGCAGTGTTTATGGCAGGGCCTTGGCATGACAAGCCCAGGTGTCCAGAGGGGGAAGGAGGATTCTTGGAGATGTCCTGACTGGCGAGGCACGGGTCTCCCAGTCGTGCACATAAGCAGAGGTGTCAAGGTCCGAGTGCAACATACAACGCGCTGGCCTAACTAAAAGCGGGGAAGGCCACAGTTCCTCCCCTCCATGCTCGACTGTTCTCTGGCAACGGTTTGGACTGTGTCACACACCCAGGCTCTGTAACTGTCCCAGCTGAAAGCCCCGTCGCGTTGTCTGGACAAAAGCGAGTCCCGGGTCATTCCTAAGGTGCTTTCGGTTGCGTAGGCCTGTTGTAAAGCATGGGTGGCGTCGCTGTTGCAGTTCAACTTGCGTCGGACGAGCAGCTTGTAAGATCGATTGGAATATCACCTCTGCAGTAACATGGCTACTGGCGCTATAGGTGACAGTGGGACATGCTAGTTGGACAAATTCCAAGCTCACACTCCTCCCTCGCCTGCGTTAGAAAAGTCATGTCGAGACCTGCCAACGAGAGACTGTGTGATCACTGGGATAAACTTGGCCCTGGCGACTGGGGTGCGCTGTTTGTAGGCATCCTGCAAACCAGTTCACATCTCCACTTTGTTGGCTAGAGACTGCCTATGAACTTAGTAACCTCACCAGTGTACGTTGACAAATGGACATTGAGTCAATCACTGACACTAGGAGGCAGTAGTGAGCATAGTAGCCCTACTGTGTAGACAATGTTGGGGGGGTGCGCTGCGATGGGAACGGACTAGTGAATGCACGCTCCAATGATGGGTAAGGCTTGTGATCTGCTTTTTGATGGTTTGGTCACAACTTGGAGGACATCTGTGTTTTTTTGTATTGTTTTTTTTTTCCCTCTCCTCCTAATTCCCCTCAATTAGAAGCGACTGGAGTGTGCATTGTTTCTCTCTTCCCACTGTAGTCTCACCATATGTTTGAATGCGGCTTTTTAATGAGTGTTTTCAGCCCTTTTTACATTCCCAACCCATGACGCAACTAACAGTGCTTTGTTTGATCTGGTTGTTGTGGTGGCGCTGGCGCACGCCTTTGTGTGCTGTCCTCCTCTGCCCTTTTGCCACACCGCACCACAATCTTACAGATGTTGAGGACGTGAAATTTGTCATCAACTTTGACTACCCCAACAACTCTGAGGACTATATCCACCGCATTGGCAGAACGGCCCGTAGCCAAAAGACTGGCACTGCCTACACCTTCTTCACTCCCAACAACGTGAGGCAGGCCAGCGACCTCATCTCTGTTCTACGCGAGGCCAACCAGGCCATCAACCCTAAGCTCCTCCAAATGGGTGAAATCAGAGGAGGTAAATCAAATTGGTGAGATACAGAAACTGTGCTGTCAAATGCAGCCATTTTATTCCTCTGCCAAAGGCCAATTTTTTTAAGGGTACATTTGGTTGAGTTCAACATACCCCAGGGGTCCCATTAATGCTTCTCTGCTCTCTTTGCAGGTCGTTCAAGGGGAGGCAGAGGTGGTGATTTTGACCGCAGGGATCGGTATTCATCTGGAAGGCGAGACTTTGGCAATTTTAGGGACAGGGATAGCAGTAGAGGCTATGACAGCGGACCAAACAAAAGCTTTAGCACAAATACTCAGAATGGAGGCTATGGGGGGAACAGCGGTGGCGCTAACAGTTTTAGCAGCGGCTACAATGGCAATGGACAGTCGTTTAACCAGCAGCCAGCATCCTTCCCACCTCAGAATAACTTTCAACCCCAGCAGAATGGTGGTGCGACTCAACCCCCGTTCCCCTTCCCCCAACCACAGCCCCCTCAGCAGCATCCGCCCCAGCAGCATCCGCCCCCCCTTGCGCCGTACCAAATGGCGCCACAATTCCCTCAGTAAACATGCAAAGTAATTTATTGCTGCTTTGACTTTTAAGTTACCTTCCTAATTTAGGTTGGGTGTCTTTTTTGTTTTGTATTTACACAACAGGGTTACAAACATCTCTAACCTAGTGAGCATTTTAAGGTCTGCGGTGCAAACAGTTGCACATATTTTTTTTTGTTTGTTCCCCCCTCTGCCACTCTCGCTATTTAATTTGTTACATTCCTCTGTAATGTTTAGTTATGTTTTGTACTAAGTAATTTCAGGAGTACTGTCTTTTCACGTGTATCCTTGAAAGTGATGTTACCTCCCACCATGGAAGTGCACTGCATGATCTTTACAATAAAACCAAAACACGTTGAACTTTGCATGTGCTCTTTTGTTCGAAATAATTGTTGCCATATTTGGCCACTGGGTGGCATCAGACGTTTACCGTTAGCTAGTGCGGTCCAAAATGGAGTCTGGTTTAGTGTTAAGAAAGCACTTGAAGCGGAAGTAACTATTGAACGTTTGTTTTGGCCATCACATGCAGCTTTGTCAAAAATCGATTTCAATTTTGTATGGTTTCGTAAAGGTACTGTAAAAGACTGCGGTACAAAGGCAGCAATTTGGATTAAGTGGAGGTGTCCTTTTTGTGGGCGTCATTCTGACGATTGTATTCACCAATGATCATGGACTGATTGCTCAGTGGTACTGTATTGGAGTAGCCGTAATTTATCAGTTGACGCCCCCCCCCCCCTCTCACACACACACACGCATTTTTCGTGCTACCTGTAGTTCCTGTAAAGTATGCTGCTCTTCTGTTCCTATTTGTTGTCCACCCCCGTGACGGTATGAATGTGGGTGTGGTTTTAGGAGAGCTCGTTGCGTGGGCGTGCGTGCGGCACACCTACAGCAAGCATGAGCCGGAGCAGCATGCTCGGGTCGCACCATTTCAATTGAGGCATCCAGTCACGTTACGGCGCTTGCCGCTGCCCACTTTATCAACAGCAACTTGTGTCTTTCCGTTTGCTATTCATTTCATTTGGCTTTTTCGGGTCATTTGAAAAATGAAGTCACGAACTGCTTGAATTATACGATAATGGTCGTAATACAGCGTGAGCTTGAGTCACACTGAGAAAAAAAACCAAAAAAACCTTCGGTTCTGTGTGCAGCACAAATCCACAAATGAGCTTTACGTTCCGTTTACAAGTTCTTTCCGTCATGCTGAAAGAACATAAAAATACCAAGACCACAGAATACCGGTGAGCCGCCATGTCATAATTGCTGATAGTAATCCGTATGTTCAGCTGCCAAGTGACTCGTTCTTCTACATTCCACGGCGTTTGTGTGCATGCATGCAAGCTCACATTTTTGGAAATGTGTCACATCTTGACTTGGACTCGTCAGGAACCTTCCACATCTTTGTATTCTAAAGACTAAAAATGTCATCATCTCTCCATTTTTGCTGTCATTGATAAGAACAGTAATCAACATTAAAATGTGGTTTCCCATTTCAGCCACTTTAAAACTCATTTTCACTGCGAAACGTGTCATTCATGTCACTGTCCACCTCTACCGCATTCACCGCAGGTGAGACCGACAGCCGTGCTACTGTACTGCGACTAACAAGAACATCTATCACAGTGAAAAAGGTTGATTGTTGGTCGTCTGGAGGCTCATCGTGACTCAGACAGGTCTATTTTAGTTCACACCGTATTGATGAGGATAATTCTACACACGTTTGAATTGTACACTTACAACAATATTCATATTGTATTTGATTACAATTCAAAATTATAATGGAATTTGCTTTCCAGATCACAAATTTGTGTTTATTTGAATAAGTGTGAGAGCATAAATAGTTGAAGTGGACAAAAAAGGACCAATAAGCAAGCACATGCAGCATTCGACACTTTACGCTGAGTCAGATTTATCAAATGTTAAGGCAGGAAGATATGAGCAGCTAACTTGTCACTTCCGGTTAGCGCTCTTACTTTCAAACCTGTTCACACCACTTCCGATGCCTTACTAAGACTGACATTAACTCGAAGACTTAGGTTTTCCCGCCATGTTTTATTGCCGTTCCAAGTGATACAGTACTTGTGACTCGGCTATGCCTTTGTAACGTGTTGTTTTGTACAGACAACAGCTTTACATTAGAATGGTGTTTGTTGTCAGCAAATTCGGCAAATGGAAAATGAATCGAGTGAAATCAGGACTTTGAAATGTGAATGTGATAGGGATGAAAACACTGTCAACCGGGTATGTTGAAAAGAGGTTCGACTGTATGAGATTTTATACTTTTGGGGGCATCCGGAAACCCCATTGCCCCAGGCAATTGCTTATGTTTGCCGAATGCTAAGTCCGCCCGGAGAACTCCTAACATGCAAACCAAACCAACTTGACTTTTGTTTCTTCATAGTGACGGGCGGCTCAGAATTTTATGACCTGTGGTTAAGAGCAAAAAAATGCTCTTATGTGTAAATTACTTTATGTGGCACTTTGGGGAGCGTGGAACAGGTCTGCCCGGTCTGCCCCTCGCCGCTGACTGCTTTTTATTGGCGACACACCTGCTAGCCTGGGCGGAGCCGAGAGACGCGCCTTAAGTGAGGAAAGACGCCGCCGGAGACTCGGTCGGAGGGAGCGAGAGGAAGGAAGGAAGGAAGGAAGGGAAGAGAAGAGAAGAAGGAAAGTGGAGCACACCGAGACAACACTCGTACTCCGGTTACACAAGCGGGCCCGAACAGCTTCCCGTCATGTCGAAGAATCAGGAAAGTGGCCCTGTGAAGATCAGCAAGTGAGTAGGGACACCGAGCGTGGAAGTGTGTACGTGCGGAAGTGTGTACGTACGTGTACGTGTGCGTGTGTGTACGTGTGTGTCAGGTGTCTCACTCTGCTCCCACTGGTCTAACCTGTCACGTTTTCCAGTGCATTCATCTGTTCTTCCAAGTCAATTCAATGCGCACATGCTAACTACGATATACGGTCGTCACGAATAAACAGTTGTGCGTTATGAATGAACGATCTCACATGCTAGTTCTGAGTGTCAGTGTGTGTCGTCATGCCAACAAGCAGTTTGTAAGTGGCGGGGTATCATGAGAGAGTTTATCAATAAAAAAATATTACACGACTCATGATAATGGAAATGCTCAAAAGGGAATAGGCTACCGGTGTATGCATATTCCCACATCTGCTTATAATCAGGAAAAAAAAAGAAAGGCTCATTATTTATTGAATCAAAGAGCGTTTTGCCCTGAAATTGGGTCACAATGTACTTACTTAGCAATCAACAACACATGACAAAAAAATATTTCACCCCTTATTTGAAAGTCCGGACTTTCTACTGTTGTACGCAGTGTTTTTTGATCATCTTTATAGCAACAAGTGCGATGGGGTGTCACTGTGCAATGCACCTTTTTCTTGCGCAAGAACACACCGTTCATCTCCATTTTCTCAATGTGACCTGTCACCCTTCTCCAGGGTGGGTGCACGCCAGAGGTGTTGCTTGTGTAAATGGAGGTGCCATGTGACCTGTAAAATTGTGTGGTCCGGGCAGTGTCAGAGGTCTTGGAACGCAAGATGATTAACAGTCCATTGATCTTCATCGACAGTCGTGCTAATTTTTAAATGGCTGCATGAGAACGTGTGCACTTGTTGGACTTGTACAGCACACAAAAGAGATTGAGGAGCAATAAAAAGGCAAAGCACCACAGGAAGGGAAGCCACCACGAGCCCTTGCGTCTCACCAGAGGCTGCCCGAGCCTCCACGTGATTTTGTTGTCTTGTATTGATTGTTGATCAGTCATTGTTGAATTTCCCCTTGAGGAATTACAGTGAGCGAGAGCAGACCGGGGTTGAGTTACGCAATGTTCCAAGTGATAAAGTCGAACACTGAATAGTGGTATCTTGACTTACAAGTTTTAGTTCTTCCATGACCAAGCTGGTGACTTCAATTATTTGTATAGTAAATCCATTTTCTTCATTGAAATGAAGTGAAATACCCTTAATCCGTTCCAGCCCAGTCAAGAAATAAACAGGTATTCTGGAGCATAATGAATGCACTGTGATATTCTGTGAGGGGGTGTGGCCCAGGAAGCGAACCACTGACCTCTGACCGTCCGGAAACCTCGCGGTTAGTTTCAGTCTTAGCGTCTTCTCCATGCTCCTTGTGAGAGTTTTCATTTCGTATTTGTGTGCTTGACCGTTCGTTCCGGTCAATAAACGGGTGATCGTCAAAAGGTCAACCTTGCGATCTGTTTTTATTTTCTTTAGCCCCACGCTCATCTGAAGCTCGCAAGTAATTTAAAATAAAGCATAAATACATAAACAAATCGAGCTGATCGCTTGAAAAACTCAAGTCCCTCCTCAACGCGACTAAATATTATTCTTAGCAAGCAGGTGCACACTTCACTTGTGCCTTTGACCATCTCCATATCGCGCTACGTTGCTGCACATGAATGTCGCCATTCATGTACATTTCAGTTCGACAACATTCTTGCAGGCGACTTAAGCGACGGGGGCGGCGATGGCGTACTGCCCCTTGTGTCCTGCTGCGGGGTGTGTCAGGACGCATAGTTGCTTTTCATATCGCAGAGGTGAGCGAACGACAGAGCAAACACGCCGAGAGCAGCGATGGGTCACCACTTTGTGAGTGACGTGTTGATAAAGAATCTTTATGGATGGTGTTGAACATTCGCCACGCAATCTAACGACAGTCAAGGCGCAGTGCACCTACACATAACAAACAGCAGCGCTGCCTTGGTGACCGCGTCAATCACGATTCACTTTATAGAAGCGGCTTTTATGGCGCCTCACTAGCTCGTGCAGGTGCACCGTAAGAAGTGGCCAGTAGGTCAACATCAGTGTCGATGGGCCCCAAAATATCGAACCAGACAGACTGGTTTATCCTGATCCTGTCATATGCTGTAATTTGTAGCTTACGGCGCAAATTTCTTTCAAAATAATTCCTCACATCATGTCAGTCTTCAACATTTTTCACATATCGAAATACATTTGAATGAATGCATGTTTTTATTTTTTTCTGGACTCAAAATTGTGTGTGTGTGTGTGTGTGTGTGTGTGTGTGTGTGTTTTAAGCACTTAACTTCCTGTATCACGCCCCCCTACCTAAGAATTGACTAACTCGACACAAAGGACACACAGCATTGCCCTGTAAATCATGAAAAAAAGCGAGCAGAAGACAAGAATGAAGGAGAACTCGTTTCCCTCGTTTTTGTTGTTGCCTTGGCTTTGGAAATTTAGGTGGACCAACTGCTTAATGGTGAGGCGTCCATTTCAACGGCATGCTTAAAAACCCAATATGGTTGCCAGTCTTAGTTGCATTGCTAAATGGGTTTCTTTGTTTGGCACGGCGTCATCCGAGAAGGTTACAAAATAGGAGCAAGTCGGAGAGCAAATATCTTGGGTACAGTACAAATGCCTGCGCAGAGAATACAAATACACAGGCAAGAAGTATTTGCCCTCAGCTGCCTCCCAGCGCTGCCTGTCAGTGTGATTTTGAGCATCATCTCGGTCTGTTGTGTTCTCCGCAGGAGCCAGGCCAGCGACCTGGCTCTCGTCATCTCTCGCATGCAGACCAATGCAGACCGAGTCGAGAAAGACATCCTGAGTGCGGAGGAGTTGCTGGTTGTGGTATGAAAGGCTCGATCGCACCGAGTTTTGGAAAAAGTGAGTTGAGAGATTAAAGTCGAGTGCTGTTGCAGGATGCCAAGCGCGAGGGGAAGAACCAGGCTCTGATCCACCAGAAGGAAAACTCAGACAAACTGGCGGAGGCCGAAGGTCTGCTGAAGGATCTCTTCATGGACGTGGACAAGACCAAGCGCCTGCAGCACCCGCAGGCCAACGAGATCGAGCGCGAGTGAGTCGACCCGAGTCGGCTCGTGGCTCTCTGGAACGTGTTGACATCCACGCCGAGCAGACACACCTCGCATACCTTCACGTCAAGATAAACCATCGCTTCCACATTCCCTTCCGCTCTCCGCGCACCTCGTCCCGACCAAAGACACCATTCTTATCATTTTATTTTGCTTCCATTTTTAAACTGCCACATCCCCGCGGTTCGGCATCAACAGATTTGCATCTTCAATATTTCTTTTTTTTTTTTCAATAAATGTAATATTTTAAAATCAGGAATATTTTTCATTATTTGCGGTTCACCTCGAAGTTAGAAATTATGGCGCCGTAACAAGCTAGCGCAGCTTTAGCAAACTTCGCGCCAACACGACCAACTGAGTGAGATAAATCTCAGTCCTGTGGCCACTTTGTCAATGTCAAGATTTTGATCTGAGGCTAAGGGAGGAAAAATTCAGAAAGGCTCCGCCAATTACAGGCCTTGATTCTGATTCGCAGTGTGAAGAACCTTCACGACCGCTGGGTGAAGGACTGCGCCACCTACAGGGAACTGTATGAGCAGGTGCAAGACTTGGCGCCCAAGTCGAGGATCGACTGGGGTCCCGCGCTGGATGAGAAACAGGTTTGCCGATGAACCTTAAATCCCACGGCGACCCGCGGTGGAAAAACTCACATTTGCCCTCGGTTTATGGTCCCGTTGCAGAGGCGTTTAGACGCCGAAGGCTACGGTCCGAGTCTTTCCGACATCGAGAAACAGATCGCGGCTCATAACATCCTGCATCAAGAGATCGAGGCCTACAGTGAGCAGCTGACGCCCAGCACAACCTCGTCACAGGTAGCCTGACATCATTTCTATTCACGGGTTCTCACTAACGAGGCCGTCGTCAGTAGTTAACCGTCCTGTTAGGTCGCTCCTCAAATGGAAACATGGCGCCGCGTAGCAAAATTGAATTGAGCCTCTTTTGTTGAGCTGAGTTTTGTTACTTTTGCATTTTTATGACACATTTTAGACGGGTATATTTGACACGCTGACAGAATGGGCTCAACAGAAATAATTGATGCCGTTTTTTTTCCTTAGCAAAATGGAGACATTATATTACACTGCCCCACCCCCCAGACACGCAGACACACACGCCCACATCCGCACACACGCACAAAACATAAAACATGGATAAGTACTTAATCTCCAATTTACATAACAGGTGTGTTAACTGGAATGGTCAAACTGCAAAACGCTCGAAATCCGTTGATATGTTGGTGTTAGAAGGTCACTTTCTGGCTCATGGAAGATTATATACAGTGTGTACATGCACATTTTTTTTTTTTTTTTTAAACAACTTGCAAAATTAACTGATGTTGGTGTGTTTTGTGTGTCGAATTCTGAAGAAACGAGGTTAACACATGACAAAGTTGGTGAATGCTTTTGTTCTCTCGGGCCTCTTTTGACTTCTTTGCCATCCGTTTGCAACAGGGCCAATATGCCAGCCTTAAAGAGAAGTACAATCAACTGTTGGTGAGTGGCGTCGTCCCCCCCCCGCCCGTCTCCATTTGTCCATTCTGTGTTTGTGTACGAGTGGCTCATCCTGTGACATCTTTGCAGGAGACCTCCCGAAAAAGGCGCAAGCACCTGGCATCGCTCTACGACTACATGCAAAGCTGCCGAAAAGAGTTGGACTACCTGTCTCAGCAGAAGAACAGGATCCTGCAGAGAGACTGGAGCGATCGAATGGTTGACCCGCCCAGCGTTCGCATGGAGTATGAGGTCAGTCCTGTTTTCATTGAGAAGCTACAGCAAATAGATACCACGCGGGGGGGGCGGGCAAAACGTATCGGGGCAGTTTGCTATTACACCATCAGGAAGTGAAAATCAGCTCAGCCTTGATGGGCCTTACTTTGGGCACAGTGAAAAGGACCTCGCTGAGCAAATCTCACAACCTTGCTCTATGTTGCAAATGCAGATGGACTCCTCCACCGTATATTTCTCAAGTGGCGTTCTCGTAGGCTGAAATGCCGACATTTTTCGGCAGACACAAATGCCACGATGACATTCACACACACACAAAAAAAAAAATAAAAAGGTTTGCTTTTGTTTGTCAGCTTGCCTCAGGGGCCCCCGCCGCAAACACGTACAACCAGTGACTCAATTAGCTGCCGCTGCCGGCTGTAATGGCGCCGTGACGACTTCGTTTTTGCCATTTGTGTGCGTGCAGAAATTCAAAAGCAACGGGCTGCTGTCACACGAGGGGGAGATCAACCAGCTCCTGGAGGAAGGCGATCGTCTGTCCAACATGAACCATCCTGGCGACTCGGCAATCACGGTTGGCCTCCCCTCTCCGACACGGAGTTCGCATGACCGATCGGCTTCTTGTCCGTCTTGGCCTAACTGACTGTGAATGCGGCGGACAGGCACACAAAGAGGCGGTGCAGAGCGGGTGGCAGTCGTTCCTCAACCTGTGTCTGGCGCAGGAAATCCACCTGGACAACGTTGAAGACTACAAGAAAGTAAGCCGCCGTCGCGTGACTTCTTCCATTTGGACGGCTCCTCGTTCACCAGTGACTCTCTTGTTCCAGTTCCAGCTCGATGCCGAGACCTTGTCCGAGTCCCTGGACAGACTCGCTTCCAATCTGGACCCAAGGTTATTGGAGGGCAAGAGCAACTCGGAGGCCCTCTTGGAACTTCAGGTGATTTGGCTTCTATTGCAATCAATGTCGGCACTCGTGGAATCGCTGAGGTAACATTGGTCAACACATTTTTACTGCCCCCCCTTTTTTTTTCTTAATCAGAGGTGCAGGTCATATTTTCCAGATTATTTTTTTGCGCATGATTCCAAATCTACCCTCGTTTTTTTTTTTTCTCTCTAGGGCATGAGGTTGTCATGAAAAGTAATAATAATATCATAACAAAGACAGAATATATCACATTGAAATATATCTAGTAATATCTGTAAATTATTCTTTCTGGAAACATCATAGCTATAAATGACAAGACGTGGTAAAATCTGCATTGAGCAAGTTTTTACAGGTCAATCTTTAAAAAAAAAAAAAAAAAAAAGAGAAAAAAGTCAACTTACATTCACACTGTCACTGACTGGGAAGCGACCCCATGCTGCCCGCACACGAGTGTACAACGACACCATCAGCGACTTGTTGTGTTTGAAAGTAAGTTTGCTTGAGTGAAGGTGACAGAAGGGCAAGTTGGGAGTCCTAATATTCAGGTTCTTCCAAGTCTTGGCCCGTGTTGACATTTGGTATTTGTTCATCCCCGTGCGTTTGCAGAGATCTGTTTTGAGAAGCACGTTGACTCCGGGTTATGGGTTCTCCTCCATCAAATCCAGAGCAGATGCTTTCTTTTTTTTTTTTGTCCGAGTGTCAGATTTTAGCGTCGGCAGCTTCAATGCCCGAACAAGTGTGCAGATGTTCGAGTGGCATTTCAAGTATTGTTCTCCGAGGTCTTTGTGACACGTCATTTTCTGCCTCACAGGGAGACGAGCCAGCGATCAAGAGGAACGAGCAGCGGCTGGCGGCCCTCAGAGAGCTCAGTCGCAACATAGCGCCTCTGAAGCTACGTCGAAGCAATCCCACCACCCCCATGAAAGTCGTGGCTCTGTGCGACTGGAATGATGAAAACGTGAGAAGTCGTTTAAAAAAAAAAATGAGAGAAGGCCACGTAGCGTTTCCTGTTTCATTCCCAACCGGTGTGTGCGCCGACTTCAGGGAGCTGTGAGGCGTGGTGATGAGCTGACACTGAAGTCCATCTACGATCACGAGACGTGGGAGCTGCAGGATAGCGGCAAGAAAAGCAAAAGGCTCCCGGGGGCGTGTTTCATGTTGCCGCCACCTGACACCGAGGCTCTGGAGAAAGTAAACAGGTACACGTTGAAGAGAAGAGAAGGCCCGTCCGTCACTTGGGGGATTTAAATGGAAAATGTCTTTTTTTGCCTTCAGGTTTGAGAAAACGCTGTTAAATTTGAAGAGCCAGAGATCGGCGACAATGACATCACTGAAGACGAGCACCGTGGAGGTCGATCGCCCTCAGCGTGCAGGTGAGAAGGAATAGTTTGCAAACCCCGCAGGACAGCCTTTTTACTTTCCGTCCTCGTTGCACTCTAGTTTCCGTACAAAGAGCTCCGGAGGATTCCAAAGCGGCACTCCTGGCCAGACAAATCGATGATCTGAACCACAATCTGGATCTTTGCAAAATGGACATGCAGAAACGACAGAGGGCCCCCGTGGACAACCGCAACCCATCACTCGACCTGGAAAACAGGCTGCAGGATCTCAAGGTTCGGCTTCAGCATTTGCAATCCTCTCAAGTGGATCTCATTTGGTTTGCGCCGACCGACGTGTGAAGAACGGCTTCTTGCCGGGTGTCTGTGGCATGACGAAGGCTTGACCCGGAGGCTGGTTGGCTGACCTCCGCTTGTCTTTGTTTTGACATCCGAGCAGGCGCGACAATGGGATGTTGTCTTTTCAATGTCGCCGGCGGATGTTGGGTGACGAGGATTTGGGTTGATGGTTGTCTTGCGTTCGCACATACCTTTTTCAGAGGTGGCGTACACCACTTTCCTCCCGCTTTCCAAAAACATGCGTGGAGACTCCGCCCATCGGTGCATTTTCAAAACTCAAATGTGTCCCTTTTGCTACCGCTGCTTTATGTTTACATGACCACGTGATACGCTTCCCCTCTAGAAATCGTCCCTGATGGCGAGGAACCTCGAGTCGGAGAAGGCCGCCGTCCAGAGAGAAATGGAAGCCCTCGTGGCCAAGAAAGCGCTCGGAGCCAATGCCTCAATCTTGCCGCTCAAACTCGCCGCTGCCAACGCCAAAATGGATGACATCTCCACTCTTCTTGATCTTTATGACAAAAAGTAAGAGTAGCGGGCTGAAGCCATGGCGCTCCGAGTGCACATTTTGAACGGAGAAACATTTGAGCTACAGGTCGTCCCTCTGCTCGCTTTTGCGCAGGGCTTCGGCCTCCATGTTCTTGGAGAGGCAGATGCAGAAGGTGGAAGGGGTCGTCTCCGGCTTCGAACAGCAGCTTGCGAAAGACGGCGTCATTCCCAATCAAAAAAACGCCCTGCTGAGTCGCAGCCGTCAGCTGCAGGTGTGGAAAAAGTTAACATGTAACAAGACACGAAGGAGGAATTTAAAATAGTGGCGGGCAGTATTTTTATATTTTCCGATTTACATTTCATCCCATGTGTTCCCGCGCCCGTCAAATCTGCCCGGGGCCTTTTGCGAGTCGCTCGCTGATGTCATGAACTCCGGCGACCATCGTTTCGTCGAAAGCAATCAGATTTCACATCCGTTCTGAGTCCTGTCAGGGGCCAGCCGGTCCCAACCCGGCAAAAAATGGTCACAGCCAAATTCAACGATCAAAACACACCTCTACCGGTTATGCTAATGCTTAGCTATATAAATGATGACTGCTCCAGATAAAGGACATCGGTGGTCCCCAAACCTTTTTGGTGTCACAGACCGGTTGAGACATAGCTGCTTGGTGTCTTGTATTTATGGTTTGTATAATGGCAACGCAATCACTAATTGGTGAATTTAGTCGCGTTCGTCCCCGCTGAAGGCCCAAGTGCTAAACGCGTGAGCCGTCAACTGAATTTCAGCGACAGCACTGTCCATTGATGTCATCAAACAGGACATTCGGCAGGAGGTTTCCTCAAAGAAGGATGAGTTGAACACGTTAGGCAGAGACTTGGACCTGACCAAGCAAGCGTGCGGCTCCCTGCAGCAGAATTTCAACGAATACTGCCCCGACATTCGCCGCCAGGAGAGCCAAGTGAAACATCTGAAGAACCGCTTCACCAGTGTCACCAATCAGCTGCAGGACAGGTGAGAGTTGCAAATTCAGTGAAGTCCTCTTAAGTCGGACCAGGCATGTCCATGTCTGGTTCTGGAGGACCACTTTCCTGCCTGCTTTCGAAGTGTCCCTCCTGCAACGTACCCGTTTCAAAAAAGATCGCCTCTTCAGCAAGCCGTGAAAAATCCTGAAAAATGAACCTGATCACTAAACCAGGCCAGGACAGTGACCCCTGAAGACAGAGTTTGTTTTTGTTTGTCATTGTTTCCTATGAGGGGAAAAAAAAAACCAAAACGACATTCCAGAGCCAACTCTGTTTTGACAAATGAGTTTCCGCAGCGAGTTGTTCACGCCCTTGGTATGTGCATGTGTGGTTTGATGACATCTGAAAAATGCCGCTCGTTATTTGTGTCTTTGCTGCTCTGCTGCGATAGGTCAACCCTCATCCAGGAAGCCAGCAATAAAAACCAAGACTTCCAGAATGCCGCTCAGTCTCTGGACTTCTTTTTGGTCAATTTACCAAATAACAGCATCGGACCTCGCGATAACGTGGCCGAGATAACAGCCAAGCACAACTCTCAGAAGGTGAGTGCAAATGTCCTTTTACCAAATGGCTGTGAATTTGGGAACCTTATCAGTTGCTCTGGAATCATGTCTGATGTTTAGAGACTGCTGGACGACATTAACAGAAAGTCAGGTGACATGCGGCGGATCAAGGATCTCTCCCGAGAACTTCAAAGCACCCTCATTGTCAGTAGCGATCGGTGTCGTTGGCTGTTTGCGCGAGACACGCGGCTCTTCTTGAACAAATGTACTTTTCAGGAATACGAGACGAAATCAAACACCTATCGCGGCATTATATATGGAGATGATGATGATGACGATGACGATGAGGACGAAGACTACGAACCCGTTCTGAAAAAGCGCCAAACTTCAACGATGGCTCAGGCGGTGCAGAGGAAGGTACGACAGCATCCAACGTTCATTTCGTCACCGACGAGACTTTTTCCGTGCTTCGTGTCGTTGAGGCTTGAGCTCTGTTTTGTCCCGCAGGAAAAGGATTTACTGAACCGTTTCGCTGAGGTGTCTGCGGAGAACGAGCAGCTTCTCAGCCAGATGGGGACCGCCAAGAACATCGTTCTCAGGGTAAAGTAGCAGCGATGCAGTTGATTCGGTCTGACGTGTAATGCGCCGCCAACTTTCGAAACAAACGTCACCATTTCTCTCTATCTCTCTCTCTGATCTTTGATCTGTGGACAGAACGAAGACCAAGTCAGCAGCGTGGTCGTCAGTCAGCAGATGCTACTCCAGAGTCAGAGGAACGACGCCGAAGAGGCCGAGACCATCGGCAAAGAACTGAATGAGGAAAAGGCTCGGCGCTTACATGCCGAGAAGGACTTGGAAACATACAGGCAGAGATACTTGTCCTTGAAGAGCAGGAGAGGAGTGGAGAGGCTGGAGGAGAAGGAGGTGGTGCAGTATTACCGCGATCCCAAATTGGAAGCCGAACTACAGTCTCTGAAAAGCAGGATTCAAGATGAAGGATACAAGAGGTCGCAAACCCATTCGGATATCGACATGCTCAATGAGAAAATCCTCAAAATGGAAAAGCAGCTCTTTGGCGTTGAACCGAAACTGGTGAACAAAGTGGTCACCGAATATGAGAGAGACCCGCAGCTTGATCAAGATATGGAGCGGATCCGGAACGAGATGCAGAAGATACGAGTGGAGATCCAGACGAAAGAGTCGGAGATCGTTCGTCTGAAAAAGGAGCTGAGTCTCCTGGCGCAGCAGAAACCCAAATTCAAAGAGAGGCTTGTGAAGAAGGACGTGGTCAGGCTCGAAAAGGATCCCGAGATGATAAAAGCGGTTTTCACGTTCAAGAAGGAAATTGCAACAGAGGAAGCCCAATGTCTGACCATCAACAACACTATTTTCACCGTTCGGAGCAAGATCAACACGCTGGAGCGGATCATACCCACCGTTGAACCCAAAATTGTCACCAAGATGGTGAAGCAAGTCCAACAAGATCCGGAACTGGTCAGCGAGTCAAAGAAACTGCGCATGGCTTTGGAAGAGGAGAAAGACGAGAACGTTATCTTACTGAAGGACCTCACCACGCTTCAGCTGCGATACGGCGAGGTGGAGAAACTGCGGCCTAAATTTGAGGTCAAAGAGGTGATCAATGAGATTTTCCAAATTGACCCCGAGACCGAAGTCCACCTGCAGCGTCTGAGGACCGAGCTGCAGGAGTGCGGCCGAAAACGCACAGCGATAGAGAAACAAACCGACGTGGTGATGACCTCGCTGACCACGCTGCGGACCCAAAAGCCCAAAATCGAGTACAAGGAAGTCAACCAGGAGGTGATCAAGGAAGAGAAAAGTCCCGAGGTCTTGAGAGAGTTACAGCGGCTCAACAACCAAGTGTCGCGTCTTAAGGTCAACTATGACACCACCCTCGAGCTGCTGACGCACCTGCGCAAAGAAAGAGACGAGTTGAAAGCTGAAAAATCCAAAGTGGAGACCAAGCTCGTGAGCAAAGAGGTTATCAAATACGAGAACGACCCCCTGGTGGAAAAAGAGGTGAACAGACTCCGGAGGACGGTCAGAGAAGAGACCCAACAACGGCGCAGCGTGGAGGAATGCCTCTTTGACCTTCAGAACCAATACATTGTCCTTGAGCGCCAGAAGCCAGAGGAGAAGACGGTGGTACAGGAAGTGGTGCGTCTTCAGAAGGACCCCAAGCAGATTTTGGAGCACGAGAGGTTAAACAAGGCCCTCGACGACGAGGTCAAAGCCCGCCGGAAACTGGAAATCGAAGTGAGACAGCTGAGAGCCCTGATTCAAGAAAAACAGAACACCGTCGCTCAGATGGACGAACGGCAGAAGAAAATCCAGATCGAGTCAGAGCTGCGACAGATCAAAGCCCAGATTCACGAGCTCGAGCATTCTCCCAAACCCGTTGAGGAAAAGATCGTCATCGAGGAAGTCCTGAAAGTGGAGCGGGACCCAAAGCTCGAGAAACTCATGGACGAGATACGCGTTGGAATGGAAGGGGAGGCGAACCAACTCGTTCGTCTCCAGAGAGAAATCAGCACCCTGAAGATGACGTTGGAAATCCTGGAAAAAGAAAAGACCACCGAAAAGATTGTTTACAGAGAAGTGGTGCGAGTAGAGAAGGACCCGGCGGTGGAAGCCGAGAGAGACCATTTGCGGGATCTCGTCGCACAGGAGAGAAATATGAGGCGTGACAAAGAAGAGAACCTTCAAAGCTTTAGAGTGAAAATGTCCCACCTGGAGACGTCCATATCCATCATTTCCAAAGAGGAGACGACTCTGGTTTTCAACAGGAGCAGCCTGCAGAGGGAGAAGGAAGACCTCCTCAAACAGCTCAAACTGCTCGAGACTCAAAGGCAGAACATCAGCGTCACCTTCCAGCAACAGTCCAAGCTGATGAGCGAGAGAAACCAGATAGCGAAGCAGCGGAGTCTCAAGGCCTCCTCCGATATGCAGCGGCTCGAGAATGAGATCCTCAACGAAAAACACAAACACCACCAAATGGAGGCGCTCCTCATGGAGCTGAAAGAAGCCTTCAGGAACGAAGATCAAGCTGAAACTCACACGAGGGAGACCAACCTCTCCACCAGGATCACCATCATGGATCCCGATACCGGCCAAGACCTGGCTCCTTACGACGCCTACCTCAAAGGGCTGATCGACCGCAATCAGTACATCCACCTGTCGGAACTGGAGTGCGATTGGGAAGAAATCACATCCACCGGTCCCGACGGCGACTCGACAATTTTGCAGGATCGGAAGAGCGGCATGCAGTACGCCGTCAAAGACGCCCTGAGAGATGGCCGCTTGACCCAGTATGACGTGATGCGCTACAAGGATGGCAAAATGCCCATTTCCGAGTTTGCTCTTCTTGTGGCGGGGGAAGCTCGAAGACCTTTTGTTCCCCCGGTTACAAGCCCCAGATCCCCCATTAAATCCATCCCAAGTTCTCCCTTAAACTCCACGCCGAGTTCCGTGATATCCCCCCGCGCCAGTCTCTACAGCGACAGCACGGACAACGTCTTTGCGTTGGGTGACGAGCAGTTCCCGATCTCCGGTATTTTCGACACGACCACGGAGAGCCGCATGTCTGTGAGAAGCGCCTTGACCCGTAAGCTCATCGACGCCGACACGGCCCTGAAGCTGCTGGAAGCGCAGGCGGCCTCCGGCGGAATTATCGATCTCAACAAGAAGGACAAACTGTCGGTCCACAAAGCGGCTGAACAGGGCCTCATCGACAACGCTCACATGTACAAACTTCTGAATGCTCAGAAGGCCTTCACCGGGATTGAGGATCCCCTGACCAAAGAGCGTCTCTCGGTGGGAAAAGCAGCACAAAAAGGCTACCTACCCTCCGAAAACGCCCGGTGGTATATTGAGGTGCAATACCTGACCGGGGGGTTGGTGGATCCCACGAAAGCCGGCCGCATCACCCTCCAAGAAGCCGAAGCGTCCAACGTGATCGACGGCAAGACAGCCGAAGAGCTGAGGAAAGAGTCGTCCTACCCAAAGGTTTTGGTTGACCCCATCAGCAAAGACAAAATCTCGTACAAGCAAGCGTTGGATAAGTGCAAGGTTGACAAGATCACGGGACTCTTGCTCCTTCCCGCGGCCTCGGGTGATGAAACAGATTCACCGTCATACTCCAAATTTCGGTTTAGTTCTTCTAACAGCAGAATCTAGATTGTGAGTTTCAAGAGGAGTGAAATGTTTGACGCAGCCTCTGGTGCTAGAGGGTTCATGGTACGAGTCACAAAGAAATGACATAAATACACTGATATTTATAACCCCGCTGTGGATCTCGTTTGAATACAAAATATGATTTGGGGATTTGCTGTAAAAATCAGGGTCATGATTGTTGTTCCATTCAGCATTCTGAGGTCAAATCCAAGAATCCACACATCATGCATTGGTTTTTACAGACCTGTTTTTTTAAAGCAATACTCTATGTATTTTCAAAATATATGTATGTCTACTGCATAAATGTGAATCATACTTTATATACATAATAAATGACAACCTTCATGATGTTTGCATCTTTTTATCCATTCCAGCAAATAAATATTTGGTTCACAGAACGTCAAACGCCAGTCTTGTGTTGCACAAATGGATGATCAGGTATAGTAAGACGTGTTTTTTTTACCGAAAAAAACCAACCATGTATAGGAAGGCGTTTTTAGCCCCCCCAAAAAACAACCAAGTGTAGTGAGGCGTTTTTAGCCCAAAACAACAACCACTGAAGAAGGGCGATTTTTAATTGAAAAATCCGACCATGTATAGTAAGGGGATTTGACCGAAAAAAAAACGACCATGTATAGCAGGGCTGCCCATTACGTCGATCCTGATCTACCGGTAGATCTAAGACAGGTCCCAAGTAGATCCGAGGAGCGTCGAGGAGAAAAAAAACCAACCAACCATATTTGTGTGTCTTTGTACATGTTAGTAATATATTTTTTGTGTTAATGTACGCTGCACCCTAATAGTCCTATCAGTCTCATTTTCACAAAAAATATATTTAAAAAATAAAATAAAGCAGGTAAATCTTGAATTTACGGTGGCGCGTGATTACGTCACCGGAAGTTGTTAACGCTCAGCAGTCTGCAATTGCAGCTTGTGATCAGAGCTGTTGCGCTCTATCCTTTGTCGTCATTATTCTCATTCAGAGTTTGCTTCGTGTACAATTCACCGAGGGCACGGGCAAAGAATAGGAATCTAGGAGGGCCCAGGGAAGCACTTTAGAACGGTACGTGTGAGCTACGCTAGTTAACAGGCTGCAAAAGTGCATCGCATGCCTCAGTTTCAGGCTGTTTCTCATCATGGCGTGTGTGTGTGTGCGCGTGCGCGCGCGCAGGTAAGGGGAGATCCCGGGAGGTTAGTTGAACGAAAAGTAGATCTTTGGTCAAAAAAGTTTGGGCACCCCTGATGTATAGTAAGCCGTTTTTTTTTTTGTTGAAAAAAACGATCAGGTATAGTAAGGCATTTTTTTTACTGAAAAAAACGACCAGGCATTGTATGGCGTTTTTAGCCGAAAAAAACGACCATGTAGAGTAAGGCGTTTTTAGCCGAAAAAAACGACCATGTAGAGTAAGGCGTTTTTAGCCGAAAAAAACGACCATGTAGAGTAAGGCGTTTTTAGCCGAAAAAAACGACCATGTAGAGTAAGGCGTTTTTAGCCGAAAAAAACGACCATGTAGAGTAAGGCGTTTTTAGCCGAAAAAAACGACCATGTAGAGTAAGGCGTTTTTAGCCGAAAAAAACGACCATGTAGAGTAAGGCGTTTTTAGCCGAAAAAAACGACCATGTAGAGTAAGGCGTTTTTAGCCGAAAAAAACGACCATGTAGAGTAAGGCGTTTTTAGCCGAAAAAAACGACCATGTAGAGTAAGGCGTTTTTAGCCGAAAAAAACGACCATGTAGAGTAAGGCGTTTTTAGCCGAAAAAAACGACCATGTAGAGTAAGGCGTTTTTAGCCGAAAAAAACGACCATGTAGAGTAAGGCGTTTTTAGCCGAAAAAAACGACCATGTAGAGTAAGGCGTTTTTAGCCGAAAAAAACGACCATGTAGAGTAAGGCGTTTTTAGCCGAAAAAAACGACCATGTATAGTAAGACGTTTTTAGATGAAAAAAACGACCATAAGTAAGTAAGTAAGGCGTTTTTAGACGAAAAAACGAC